TTCTACGATAATTCTATTTCGTGATATGGATAGCCTATACCTATAGTATTTACATTGAAAAACATCTGAAGAAAAAACTGCTTGATTTTTGACAACGTTTTACCAGCTTTACTATTAATAATTATTGCTTAGAGTATTTTTGAATAAATTACATTATAAATTATGTTATCATATTGCGAAGCTCTCTACAGTAAATTGAGGTATAGACGCAATTTCAACTAGACACATGCACTTCCATTTTATTTGTTAGAAAACAATAGTGAAAGCGTTTGTCATGTATTGGGATAAAAAGCGTTTCCTCTAAGTAATACTATTAAACCATATTAGTGACAATATACACAACTACTATAACAACGTATAATGCGAAGTTATTAAGTAAACAATTGAACAGATCATTACGAAGCATTTAGTATCGTGCCAATTTATTAACTCGCATAGCTTGACAATTACGGAAGTTTCTAATTGTTTGTTAGATCAGTTTTGCAAGTTGACCTATATTAAACTTTCCAATAACTGAACATAAAACGTAATTTGTTATTAGCATATTTCTAGGATGAAAATTTGAATTAACATTAAGTGCTTAAATGTTTAAAAATGGTATTACGCATCTAAAAGTAGTACCCAAATTGGGACTGTTTGAAAAGTTGTAGAACTTTTACATAAGCTCATAAGCGAGAAACGTATTGTGTTCGCGTAAATCTTTGAAGTTCATAGTTGAAAGAAATTAGTCGATTGAGTGTGGGAAAAATCGTTCATTTTTTGCCGAAAAGTCCATAAGAGTAAATATGAAACAGTAGCCAAAAGTTAGCGCCTTTGTAGTAATTAATATAGAAAAAAATCTATAAAAATGCCCAATGTATCCAGCGACGTAACTGCTGCAACAAATTAGATATAAAGTGTGAGATTTTATATATCTCCATTACTATAAAAGATAATCAAAAATGTTATTAGCAAAAATTGTAGACTATACGCTTCATACATGGAATATATCGCTCCCTACAGTGTGATTCATACCGACATGACAACAAAAACTGGAACACTCCAATATGCCACTTTAAAGGGCAGAGTTTTGATATAGTCGGAGATATAGCATATTATACTAATTCCGGGAATCATTTCTCTTTGTTGATATTTATTCGTGGTTTTTCTACAAATAGATGCTTGAAATTTCGTCATATAGCCAAAAATAGTTTTATAGAACACGTAGCAGGATATCTACCTAGTTTATTCTAGAATAATTTGAAAAACAAATTTTTCATATTTTCAACATTGTGATCTCCGAAACGGTAAGAGGTACGGGTCGGTTGAATGGTGGCAAAGTTGCGTATTTATATATTTTAAAAAATGCATTTGAAAAGTTTTGACGCTTCCAGTATCTTCAGAGATACACGGAAAAGGTAACGAATTTTCCCAAAATCGTTTATATTTTTTCTGAATTTATTTAAGATAGGGTTTCAAAATGAACTCCACATTGACATTGTCACTTTCTGATCTCTGCAAGGCGGCATAAATAGAACATTAATATGATTTTCGTCTATTATTCCCTCTCAACTTAGATTTTTCTTATGTATGTCATTTTTGTATAGGCGAACAGCTTCTAATTCTGATTTCAAATATTATAGCATGTCATACATTATTCTAAAACATTTTTTCTTTGAGTATGCTGGAAATTGTTATATTTCAAAGAATCATAGGATATCAAAGATGATAACATGTTACGCATTGATGAATCATGAAGACATCGAAAACGGTATAATTTAAAAAAGCTGAGAGCTGAAACGTCAGATCGGAATCCTAATTATGCCATCGTGTAGAAGAGAAAAAGTGATAATGTTACTGAGTAATTTGTTTGAAATTTATAGATAATAAGGATGTTTGAAAAGTTTTGTTTCGGACTAAAGTCCGGAAATAATAAAAACGACTTAGAGTAAATTCGGAAATACTTTCAATTTCCAAACTGTCCAAGTTCGAAGTTGTTTTATTTACCTGCGCAACTTGCTCCCATAAGGTACTCCGCGTCGTATATTCATCATGAGATGTGATATTTAGTAACCATATAGCCTGGACGTCAGTAATTATTGATATATTATAATGTTACGCAGAAATCCACTGATGGTACAGACCGCAGTGAATTTACCAAGTGACAAAAAAAGGTAAACACCTACCTATGTTTATCCGATTTCAATAATTTTTGACATGTACTCATGTTCAGTGTCCCTTACTAGTATAATGACTAAATTTATTATTGATTTGACAACTGACTGCAGAACCTGGTTCAATAATGTGTTGAGGATTCACGATTTCTTATACACTCATTGACACGCCTGAGGATCGTGCTGATAAGGAGGTCGATATCCTGTTGGGGTATATCATTCCAGGTTACTCCAACTTCGTGAGTAAGAGCTGCTAAAGTCTGTGGAGGGTGTTGCAAATTCAAGAGCCTGCGACCTATCATGTCCCAGACATGATCAATTGGAGATAGGTCAGGCGATCATGGTGCCCAAGGTAAACGGTTGATGTGATGTTGATCCATGAAGGCTAACGATGCTCTGGCAATATGCGGTCTGGCATTGTCTTGCTGAAAAATCTGGTTTTGGATGGTGTTTAGGTATAGAATAAGATGAGGGTCCACTACTTCCAGAATATAGCGTCGGGCTGTCATATTGCCTCTGATGAAAATTAGTGGTGATCTGCTACCATAAGCAATGGCACCCCATACCATAACTCCCACCGTGTGGTGAACGTGACGCTCTCTCTCAAATTGTGGGTCACGACTTTCACCACGTCGCCTTCTCACTTTTGCCCGACCATCGTGCATCCCCAGACAGAAGCGGCATTCGTCACAAAAGACCTTCTGAGTCCACTTCCGGTCCCAGAGAATTCCTCTACACCAGAGAAAACGTTTACGCCGATGTTCAGCTGTGAGAGGTAGCACCCAATGTGGGCGATAAGAAAAAAGGCCAAACTGTAGTATTCGGCGATATACCGTACGCATATCAACTATCCTTCCATACTCTTCAAACCACTGATTAGGAATGGCTCAAGTACTACTGAATCTGTCTCTCAGAGCTAAGAAAATGGGGGTATCCCCTTGCCTCCGACCCTTGGGTACGAATTTGACAAAAGCCACAGTCTCATTATAATTGAGTAGGTATTGATTTGTTTCAACTTTTGTTTTTATTGTGAGTGCAGAGGAGCAATACTTTCATTTTTATATTTGTTCTGTATTTTAGTGTGTTTTATAGATTTCAAATAGTAAGTGTGGCGACCATGCGTTCATATTAAATATTGAGTTATTTACTTTTGAAGAATTCACCCCATAAGGGTTCTTTATTTTCCACGTAGAAAGCTACATATCTATAAAACCCCCTCCCCCACAGCCAATTATATCAGGCATCCTGACATGAGCTGCAGTGTCGCTGAGGTCCCTACTTCTCAGAAAAGCTCGCATTCTTACAAGATTTTCCAAATTTCTAAAACAGGATTCACATTCTTCAAAATACTTACTTTAATTAAAGCTGTTTGAACTCAGATATTATAATAAGTGCCTGTAAAATTTGTGGCAATAAGACCCTTCATAAAAGCTTCTAGACTTCACTAAAAAGCACATAGGGTAGGGTGCCCCAAGTCTGCGCACTTAAGGTTTGATAAGCCGTAGAATCGTGAATCAATAACCTATTGTAATAATCTTAATTTCTATTTAGGCTCACATTAATGTACTTTGTTAATTTAGGTTTTATTCAAACATCTGATAACAATTTTGTTAGTAATTAAAAAAAAAAGACAAAGATGTAAATGCGCAGTCTTACCACTACGGGTCCCTGGATATTGCGCATTCAGATCGTTAAGATTGCGCATAGATAACAAAAACTTAAAAGTAGGAACTAAAACAGAATAAGGTATCTTAAGCGCATAAATCGCACTTAAACTGTCCAATGCCTACGTAGGCCGTACATTTCTCATGCCACCATTCAGAACAAACAGAACAACCGATCCAATCCTCTGTAATCGGCTCTTTATACTCCTCATTGCAGCCACCGCATGCCCATTCCTTTTTTTTAGGATATTTAGAAGGCTTTCTGCAAACTTTTTTCACTTTTTTCTCAGGAGTTTTCTTCAACTGATTCTCTACTAATAGCTGTTCTTTATATGAAGAACCACTAAGTATTTCAGATTTCTTATGTTTTCGCTTGTTTGCGGTCTTTCTTATACCTGATTTTGGTATAGGGCAAATATCTTAGAGTTTCACTTTGATTGCGGCCGATTCATTGCTGCAAGATGGTACCTGTGCAGGAACTTGGAAGATACCACCATTTTTTTCAGCTGGAGGACCGTCGAAGTTTTTCTTTTGCCCTGACTCAGAACTTACAACTGGTTCGGCTGGAGCTTCTGTTACTTGAGAAACATTCTCAATTGCTGTAAAAGCGTTCCTCGGAGTTGATGGTTTTTTTGGCTCCTTGTTGAGAACAGAAGCACGAGGCTCATTATCCATAACTGGTTCTCTCTGTTCATGGGGTGTTGCTTTTTGAGGATTCTCCTGTTGTGATTCTGAACATTGGTTATCATCCATTTCTCTTTCGGTCACAGCACTAGGAAGAAAATCTGCATCTGTGAAGATATCTGGATTGTATGGGTAGATTCCGGACACCTTGAAACATTCAGCAGCACAACCAACTATAGCTGCTTTATTAAACGCTGGAGTGAATAAAGACGTCATCTGAAAAGCAGTTATAGCTCTGCCAGGGTGGTTTCTCATCCATTTTTCACATTCGCTCGCAAAATAAGTCTTCAACGCACTATGAAAACCTTTGTCTAGTGGTTGCATCTTGTGGCTGCTATGTGGAGGTATGGTTAGAGCTATTATTTTATTCGCTCGATAAAAGTCTACAGCCCCTATTGTACAATGCGACACATGATTGTCAAGAACCAGAAGGATAGGGTGTTCTTTAGTTGGTCTTGTGTGATCTTTAAAGTGACCTAGCCAGTTTAAAAAAAGTTCACTATTTAATATAACTTGTGTCTGAGACCATTCCAATAGACGCTGGTGGTGCGCCATCCAGCAATTCTGCTTTCATCCTTTTGCGACCGAATATGAAAGCGGGAGGAATGAAGTGTCCAGATGCACTCATAGCATTCACTACGGTTACGTTCGTTCCTCTTTCAGCGCTAGAAATCTTATTAACAGCGCGCTTTCCTTTTTTTGATATGACCCTTGGAGGATTGTTGGGTACGGTAGACAGACCAGTTTCATCCATATTATAAATGGAAGTTGGAGGAAACTTATACTTGTCCATCAATTCTGCTAGATTTTTGTAGAACCTTTCACATTGTGGCTTATTAAATCCCATCGCCCTAGCAATACTTGTGGAAGTTGGACGTCTTAGTGAAAGATCTGGGTGCCGACTGAGAAATCCACGAAGCCAGTGTTTGCCTGCCATTTTCTTTTCGGCATTGAAACGATGAGGAATATTATTTTTCACCACAAACTCGTAAGCAGCAATCCTCAAATTCTTAGGAGTCATCCCTTGAAACATATTGTCAAGATCTTCCAAATAATTACAAAATTCCTGTTCAATTTCGGGAGAAAGAGTTGCATCATATCTACCAAGCTTTGTTGCAGCTTCTTTTCTCTTCAGGCGATACCGCAAAGTACTTTCTTTCATCCCGTACGACGATGCTACTTTTCTTTTGCTTTCACCATTTTCTATTCGTCTTCTAGCTTCCTCTAAAACATATTGAGGGCACAGCGAACGTTCCGACGACCTTTTTCTTTGATTAGGCATTCTGAAAATGAATATTTAAGGTTGTTATATCAAATTAAAAGTTATGGTAGGGTAAGTCTGCGCGCGTAGTGTTACGGACCGTGACTCTGCGCAGTCTTAGGGAATAGCCCAATATACAATTATGTGACTCCTAACGCCATCTATTGAAAATATCAAAAATTATATCGCTCGCCGGCTGTATAGGTTAAATCACGCAAACGAAAACACTGGTCAAATCTTTGATAGTACTTCAGGCTTTCATGTAATTACAGTTTGAAATTGAGAAACAATAACATCAGAATCGATATTTAACTTCAAACTTACCTTGCGACTAGGTTTTGATAGGTTTTTGGTTTGTTTTTTCTACAGCGCACTCACTCACAGCAACGGCCCAGAACACGAGAGAAGTTAGTCGACAATGTCATTTTGCTTTCGAAATATGGGAGCTGCGCAATCTTACCTCCTGCGCAAAGTTAGGGCACCCTACCCTAGGTATACATATTTCTCATATGGAATTGTATAAATATGATTACCAGTCAAAACAAAAATTTATAACTTCCGATTTACATTAATTACAATTCTCCTCGCTCCATGAAGTCTAATATCCTTGACAAATCACACAAAATAGGTATATGTATTCACTTTATGGGATATTCCCAAGAAAACTGTTGCAGTTCGCTTGTGCTCAAGATGAATGCAAAACGTAATGTTGTAGACATCAAGTTTATTATTAAACATTTAATTATGCTCATATCAAATTAGACTCATGAGTAGTTTCCTGGAAAAATACATCATATTTGTTTTACTTAGCATGACATTTAAACTGCAAAAAGCATAATTATTTATAATTAATGTACTCAGGCTGTTTGAATCAGGCCCATTTTTAGCCCCACCTCCTTAGAAGGAGGAATATGTCTTTCTGCGCCGGACATGTTTATTATCACTGAAGTTACACAAATATTTACACACTTTGTTGTCCAACTCCACGGAGTTCCGTTACGTGATTACAATTAGAAAGAGTCTAACAGGGTTATGGACAACACAATAGGTTTCAGGACCTATTTATGGTCTAGGATGTGCTTTCAAGGTATCTAGACTCAGGCACACGTTGCTTTTTGACGAAGATGCATTGTACAATGAACAATAGATAAGAATAAAGTTGTTATCATTGCTGAGTGAGTATGATGCAACATTCTATTACATAGTGAAATAGGACAAAAGGACGTACGTATAAAAAAATTCCATTCCACAGGCTACAAGCTAAACGGCTTCATGGATTTCGACATTATGAGATGTAGTTGGATTCGTATTAGCAGAACGAGTGGCAGTGGCAGTATTCAAATTTATTAAAAATTGAAATTCCTATTTCACACGCTTAAGGGGATTGATTGATTTTGACATATGAGATATTGTTGAATTCGTTTTGCCAGTGCAAGTGACACTAGCTATATCACATTTTCATAAAAACAAACACCTTATTACTAGGGCTACACTTTAAATGGATTGATACATTTTAACATATCGTGTGTTTCTAGATTTATCTTGATAGCACAATTAAATCTTCATTCTTTTCAGTTATTATATATTTTTTTAAATGTTCTTGATTTATAAACGTAAGCTGCCTGTATAATCCTTTGGTCTATTCATGAACTAGATATAAAAGGGCAAACTCGTAGAGTGGAGATGAAGTCAAAAGTGTCGAGAATGAAGACATGTTGAGGTTCAGCGCGTACGGCATATCTCATTTCTGCCGATCTCTCTCACTTTCACGTGCATGAGTATGCATGCGGAGTTTATTTACAACAAATGAAACCGGCACTGGTATTATGTAAAAAAACCTATAAAACTCCAAAAAAAAACCTATAAAACGCCATCTTGCGGACTAGGTACTTTTTAGGGTGCAAACAGCCCTTACACGTTTGCTCACTAAGATCATTGTGAGCGCCCATCTATGGAGGAATGGCTCAACTACACCTCTACACGCATTGTTGGTTGCATATGTTTTGTGAAGCCGAGTAGTTCTAAAATATCGAATTGCTTCCGAGCTTAGTTGCATCGGATAATTTTTGGAAGTAGTAACATTTAAAAAAATCACAAACTTAGTTTTCCGACGTTTTCAACTTTCTGGTCCCTTTTATTTGTAGTCAGACATATACTAAATGACAGAAAATGCAAAATCGACTAGGAGTGCTGTAATTTTGAGCACACTTTTACAAGTTTTAGGTTTACTGATAAATACGAGTAGAAAGTGATTAAAATTTTAACTCGAAATTTCGCTAAATAGCTGAGATATCCCACCTTAATGTTAATAATGTGTTGAATCTCCTCTGTTCGCTACACATTCGTTAAGTCGTCACGGCATTGATTGGATTAGGTGATTGATCCCAGATCATCTGAATTTGGTTTCGTAGACCTCCAATGTTTGTGGAGGGTGGGGTGAATTTTGCAACCTTCTTCCCATCATGTCCCATACATGTTTAATGGGGGAAAAGTCTGGATCTAAACTAACACGTGCGACATGAGGTCGTAAGCCCAAATGGGACCAACATAGAAAAATCACTGAATATTAAGTAAACATTTTCATATTGTTCGAATGCTTTTAACAATTTATCAGCGAATATTTCCATGATAGCAAGAATGTTTACAACAAAATTCAGTAAATAATTCTGGGTGTCATATTTTTTATGTCACTTAGTATATTTTAAAGGATTCAAAAAATTTGAAATCTGATTCTCAGAAGAATTTCGGTGTATCTACAGATAATTGCAAATATTGCGTGGGAAATAGAGTCGATATACTTTACTCCATCAGCTGTCTGCTGCATTAAATTTATTCAAATATTAATTAAAAAGAATGTCAGTATGTTTTCTGTTAAATATCTCTAGGTGTACCCAGCAAAGAAAAGACGTCGACAAACAGACTCGTAGATAAAAGGTCAACGTTTTGTCCAATCAACTCGCAGTGTGTTCCATTGAGTTCATGTCCAATACTGAAGAATCTGATCAACAATCAATGTCTTACAGCGAATAGGTATTTATAAACATTAGTTAAGCTGAAATGTGCAGTATAGACATATAAAACTTCAACACTAAATATTAGTTCAGTGTTATAGTAGTATCTGTGAAAAAATAAGATAATTCTAATTAGTGTATCGCCTTTGGATAATGCTTCACGTGTAAGGTAAATGTCCAAAACTTCAAGCCAATCCATAACTTCGTTAGTTTTTGTTTGAAGCGCTAAAATAAAAAAATCATGAAGTATTTTATATTCTATATTCAATACTCTACTCTATCATTTGAGCTGTCTCAAAAACCAAAATTCAAATTTTCATCCATTAGCATGAAAACTAGGCGATCTTCGGAACTGTCAGTCGACCGGTAAATGTCGAGCGAGTCGAACTTGTCAATAACTGTAAGGGTGTGCACTGAATTTCTTAAGCTTTCCACCAAATGTAGAGAAGTTAATTTGACTAAAATATGTTAATTCATGTTAATAAATTCATTATAAACAATTTGAGGTACGAGTAAAGGTATTCACCCAATTTTTATTCCTTCGTATTTTTTTAGCGAATAGTATGTAACAAAATAGAAAATATACATCCAATTGAAAAGAGTATAGAGTTCCTTTTGAGTGAATTTCGGTATACACTTTTTCCAACAGTCTTTTTTCAACTAAAGTAAAGTGGTGCTCAGTTTGCATAAGTTAAGGAAATTTGAGTATATGTACAAAGCATCCTATTTTGTTTTTACTGGAATTGATGCATCCTTTTTACTATAATTATTGAAAACATGATACTAAATGCTCAATAAACATCGCTTACTCGAAATTCACAACATTAAGCATTTCGATAATGCAAAAGTAACACGAAATGAGGGACATGATTTTTGTTGTTGCGTTAAATTCCTGCATAAAGGTACTAGATAATTTTGCGAAGAGATTGTTAATATACGAGTAATAGATAGCCCGGTACCACCCATACAAGGGGTATTTATTTTGTGCTAGATATATAAATATATAATGTGTTTCTATATCAAATATTTATGATATAAAAATTTACATTTATAATTTTTCATGTACAAAGATTGACAATCAGTACAAAAATACAGTTTTGTTTTCTTCTGTTTATATCATAGTCTTGACTTGAAGATGTTATGGAATCTGACTTTCATTTGAAACAATTTTTTTGAGAGATTTCATATTCAGCCTAGCGTGTGTACATTTATTTTTTTTGTTGATCTCTTTCATGTACTTTATGACCTATGTAATATATTATAATGTGATCCTGGTGAAACCAGCAAAAATATTTTGTATGCCGTAATATGATTAATTATTTCGTTAATTATATCAAAACTGTTTATCTCTGTTTATGAAAATTTAATGTTACTTATCCCACATTATATATCCAGGGCTTGTAGCATTTAATAGGGTACACACATTTACGAGATTAGAGAGAAGTCGAAATTTTGTCACGAAACAAGGTTCAAATGGAGGGTTTCTAAAAAAAAATTATTTGAAACGATAATGCAAACTAAAACAACAAGATTTTGCACTTGAATACCATCAAACTACCCTCAAAATCTCTGCCTCCAAGGGAAAAAGATCAATCCCGGCATCATATTAACAATTTTTTGAAAAAATCTACAAATGAATAGTCCCTGAACATGCCGAACTTTGGGACATTTACCTTACTCATAACCACTTATTTGATTGCGCTCCGTACTGTACCTATCGAAAATCCAGCAAGCTTTACTATATCCAGATTTAAAATTTCCGAACCTGTATATGATATATTTCCAGCATAAGCGACCTCAGTTGCGGATACCAAGGATCAGGATTGGTATGCTGTCCTCAAGTGCCTTCAACTTCTACAGATGGCACCGGCCCAGCAAAAATGGTCGATGGCCAAAGATGTGGGATCTCACAGGTACAAGGAGAGTCATATGATGGCATTGGAGCGTATCCTTGGGTTGCGAGGGTTGGATTTAAAAGTAAGCTTGTCCAGTAAAAAACAATGATTAAATATTAGCATATTACGCCTTGAGTGCAGGTTATTCAATGAATAAATGAATTAATAACGAAATTAGAGACATACCGGCCACCATGAGAAGCTGCTTAAATGGGCCCATATGCACTCCTACATCCCCTAAGCCTCAAGCTCCACCCTTCTAGCAAAGTTGAGTATAGCGCTGAGTCCCAGCTCCTTGACATTCTGGGGATCCAAAGTATTGGACCTCAGTATAGTCTGCTCAAAGCCTCACAGTGACACTGAACTTGCGCCGAGAAGTCTTCCTCTACTCCGCAGCACTCCCACATGTGTCCTCAGCCACTCTCATCACATGCAGGTGGCGCCTTAACGTGTTATGGCCAGACAACAGCCCACCAACATCCTTAGGTTGGCTGTATCCAAACATAAGCAAAAGCGCCCATCCTTAATACTGGGCCTAGGATGAGCTCCCGTGCATGACGGAGATGACTAGAGATGCTTCTCCATGTCTGACTTGCAATCTACTACTCCATTTTGCTTGCTTGCTCGCCGATCCTCCTTTCGCAAGAGCGTATCATTGCCCTTCATCCCAGCGTGTCCCAATACGCACACTAACGATACAGGGAGTCTCGCTGCTAGACTATCTACAGCCAACCTGCATTACAATAGAAAGCTCGAAGTAATCTTGCAGGCTTTTGGTGCCTTCATCGTAGCCTGGCTGTCGGGGAAGATTGTTATTCTTCTCCTATGCCCTTCCCCTTCCAAAATGCAGGATACGCAAGTCAGAAACTCAAGATTTTTGCCTGGAAAATAGTGTGTCCACCGAGAACCAAAGATAGCCTTGTTCTAGCCCAGAGACTCCGGCGTCAGAGCCCTCTTCAATATGATCTTGAAAGGATAACATATTCCTAGAACCTAGAACGGTTCTGGGAATAACATATTGATGTTTTTTATCGACCTGATTTAATATTTAGTAAGTAGCTATGTTGTCTTTTATCACCAGATGTACTTACTGGAGAAAATAAGTATCCTTGTACTGGTTCCATCATCAGTAGCCGAGTTATTCTAACAGCTGCCCATTGTGCTTTGGCAAAGGCAGAAAATTTCAAATTGTAAGTATACGTAAAACTTCCTTACTCGAGTTTAAGCTGAATAAGATCGCTGATTTGTAAACATGAAAGGCGTTACTTCAGAAATCATAGTATGCGACTAAATCTTACAACTGAAAATATGGAGATACAAAATCTTGGAAATTCAACAGTATGAAGATCAACCTTGTAAATACGATTTTTTTTTGTAGATATGCAATCAGAATTGGAGAATGGATGACGGATACAGACATAGATTGTGGAGACGAGTTTTGCGGTCTTCCAGTCCAAGACATACCTATTAGCCACGTAATTGTCCATCCAGGGTATCAAAGACATACCTTCCAGAATAACATTGCTTTAATTGTTCTGAAGAACAAAATTAACTATACAGGTATGCTTAGCATGACTATAGGAAGAGGCAACCGGGGTTGCCGGCCCGGGACCCCCAACTTGGGGGTCCGCAAGATCAAGGATTATATTGACAAAAAAAATAGAAACAAGTAGTGCCAAACTATAACATTTTTTGCGCTGCAAGACGTGTAGGGGCATGTACGGGTATACGTATCGTGCTGCCCGGGATGTAAGACTTTATACGTATATCGGCGTAAGGAGTATGACACACGATCAGTAGGTATAAGTTGTTGCGATTTATGAACTGGTTTAGTTTTTGAATCTTTTAAAAGTGATTATTATCCACTAATACTGAATATTATAATTTTTTGCAATGAAAATTAACTTGCTTTGTTCGGTCAACAATGATCCATTCCCTGTTTAGGTAAATATTGTGTACCAAAATTTGTTACGCGGACAGGTATTTCAATTTTTTAACTATCAATGACCAGTCATATGTGAAGGTAATAAATAGGTAATGCTGAATCATCGCATCATTCACTTTTGTGATGTTGTCAGTAAAATAATCCTATAGACCAAGACCGCCCAACCATATACCATATATAGGATGTAATTCACAACTTAATATTTTTTTGCCTAACTCATTTGGCTTATTGGTTCTTTTTACGAGTATGATACTATTTCTTAGATGTATAAGTTATACCGGATGTTACACAATGCTTTCAGGAAAAATGACGAGCAGATTCCGCACGTCAGAATAGACTAAGATAGTTCAAGATTAAATTTGTAATTTGGTTTTGTATTCCCCTGACAGTTGTACGCCATCCTAAGCATGTCCGTTTTTGATGGTCTTACATTAACCGAAAACAAATTAAGATTTTGAGATGAGTTTGATACATTCAAATGAAGTAACAAAAAAATATTTCATTCATCCCAGTGCTTAAATTTGTATATAGTTATAAAAAAACGTACCAGTGGCGGATTTAGAGGGGGCGCGGGGGGCGCGTGCCCCCCATAGATGTCTGACACTTGCTTTTGTAATCTAACACCATTGTGTTACTTTCTGACACATCATGGCGATAGAAGCATACTAACTATAAGTTATAGCTATAGGAACTGAGCATTGCGATTTTTTGGTATCCTGTGGTATTCCAAATGCTGTCCCTCTTTGACATCACTTGTTTACAGCACAATTCTTACGATTTATACGTATATACGAGAATTGTGACTTGTGACAAATCTAAGTCTGGGTACCTAATACATTAGCTATACAGATTGCAATTAAAAGGTGATTTATGTTCTGTTTATTGCTCAATAGTAATTTGAAAAGTGTGTAAAGCTTTACTGATTTTGTTCGGGATTTATGTTGCAGCGAAGCACTATGTTAGATGAACACCTAAATTGGAAATAGACATTTATGAGATTTGTTTAGCGGTGCGCCTGTGGCCTGTCCAGAAACTGCGTCGATCGATGCTCAAAGTCAATACCACACGTCCCGCATCTCTTCCCGCGTATGTTATTTATGTTGCTATATTGAATTCGTTTAAATCACAGAGCTGCTGCACTACACGTGAATATGTACAGCCCTATATTCCTGTACTTGTTCCGTACAAACATACATTATCAAAATAATTACGATCTAACCGATAATTTTTCCCTTGATTTCCAACATTTTTGCATGCGATCAATACCGGTTCGAAAACTGAGAAAACAACAACTATGCCGGAAATCTAAGTTCGACAAGGAAAGTCTGAAAAAACCCCAACCCATACTGACCGGGGCTGTGGCAAATGCTTGTTCCGGAAGTTGTTGTATCCAGTATACAACTTCTTCCCGTTCAAGTGATTGTACACGCGTTAAGGAATACCTCAGTACTTATTGCCGGGTGACGGTACAAGTCCGCCAACGGGCCACTTTTGGTCTATTTATTATCATTAAAACCCAAAAAGAAGGTGGTAGACAAGGACCAGTCGACCGAGGAGGTACCACCCTATAGCTTTCCCCAGGGTGTCTTATAAATGACCGCATGTTTCCACACCTAAGCTATGCAGTAGGTTATCTTCCAAAACAAGGAAATTCATGATGATGGATCCCTCGAGTACTAAGAATTCCGAATGTAAGCTCACTCGACTCTCAGAATGTCCAGGTGGAGGGTGAACTCGACGGAACATCGAAGATAAAATTTGTTTCGCGAACATTTGAGGGATTAACAGCAACATTGATGCTGTACGACACTACTTGCAATCCAATCGTCCCGCCATGCTTTTCTTGGCGGAGACAAAAATCTCAGAGACCGCATCGATTAACCATCTTAGCTTCCCAAATTACGAGGTGCATTCCAATCTGAGAAAGAACGGGGGAGTTGTGGTCTTTGTCCGCAGCAGTCTTTCCTGCTGCAGAGATGCTTCTCTGGAATCAAACCGGGAGGACATTCTGTGGCTTCGCCTCAACTCCAAAACATCCCCGAAATTTATTTGCTGCCTTTATACTCTCCCTCGGACCATAACTGGGATGACCTTCTTGAATACCTCGCCGTCAAGGTCGACTTCCTGAACATTGATCACCCCGCTTCAGAGGTAGCTCTCCTCGGTGATTTCAGTGACCATAATTTGCTTTGGTTGGGCTCAAATAAGACCGATGCAGCAGTTGAAGCGTTCGCTATTACTCAAGGGCTGACCCAGCTGGTGACGGGCCCTACTTCTTCCACCGCATCTCATCACATGCCAGTAGCCTGCTGGATCTCTTTCTGACCACGCATCCTGTCCCTTACAGCACTGCTGTCCAGTCACCGCTAGGTAGCTCAGACCACGGCGTTCTGGAGGTTGTGTTTCGGTGAGAACCCGCTGTGGCAGCAGAAACTCGCACGGGCATTACAGACATGCCGACTGGGAGGGACACTTCTTTTCTACCTTTCCTTGGAGAGATGTCTGTTTCACTGACGCGGATGCGTCGGCTGCCTGTTCTTCGGTAACCAAAATTATCCACGTCGGAATGGATGAATACATCCCTCATACAGTGGAAGTGCCTAAACCAGGGTAATAGCGCAATGGCAGTCAGTTTTTCTGGACGCTGGCCAAGAAACAAGAAACTCTCACACAGCAACCTTCCACCACTTACGTGTCAGGATGGAAGATTGTATCGGACTCAAAGGCCAAAGCGGAAGTCCTTGCCAAGATCTTTGCTGCCAACTCCACCATGGACGTTCCCTCCAACGCTCAAGTGTCGTCAATTCAAAGGGTTCCCTACACTATGCGGGAAGTAACATTCAGGTATAAGACTGTAAGACGAGTGCTCTTGTCGCGCGACATCAACAAAATTTTTTGGACCGGACTTGATTCCTGCTATTGTACTGGAAGGGTCTGTAGCGGAGCTTGCTCCAATTCTTTCGCATCTCTTCCAGATACCTTATGAATCTGACACCCTCCCAGAAAACTGGAAATTCGCTCATGCCTAACCCATCCCACAAAAGGGGATCTAAGACCGACCCTTACAACTATAGGCTTATAGCTCTGCATTCTGTTATAAGTAAGGTGATTTAGAGATGCCTAAATCGCGAGCTTCTGGACTATCTCGAACGTCACAGCTTGATTAGCGACAGGCAGTATGGTTTTCGGCATCAGCGATCCACAGGGGACCTCCTAGATTACGTCACGTAATTGTGGAGTAAACTCATCCAGTCTTATGGTGAGGCTTATGTCGTTGCTCTTGACATCACGAAAGCGTTCGATCAGCTGTGACACGCTGCCCTTTTTAACAAACTTCCATCCTATGGCCTCTCAGAAAAGTTTTGCAGATGGGTGGCTGACTTTATCTCTGGCCGCAAGATATCCGTCGTAATTGACGGGTTCTCCTCTTCATCCCACAACGTCAACGGGAGTGATACCCAGGGATAGGTCTTAGCTCCGACACTGTTCCTTTTACGACCTCATTTCCTACACGATCAAGCCAAACCATAGTTTCGCTGATGACAGCACTCTACATGCAGGAATTCAGAGTGACAGCCGATCTCTGCCGCTGAGCTGGAAAATAGAAGACTAGCGACGACTTCCTCTCTGACGAGAGACCTAGAGGTTATCACTGCATGGGGACGCAACGTACCGTTTAATGCTTCCAAAACACAATACAGTACCTTGACGATCAAAAAGCGTCCTAAAGCTTATCCGGTTTGGATGGATGGCCGAGCTCTGCCAAAGAGCCATTCACTTCGACAGGTCGGAGTCCAGATAAACGAGGACCTGGTCTAGCACGAACTCGTCAAGACCGGCAGCTGCTGGGAAAAAGTTAGGCTATTTGTTTAGGGCTCAGAAGTACTTTTCTCCGCATGACCTTCTCACTCTATACAAGGCCCAGATAAGGCCTAGCCTCGAGTATTGCTCACACATTTGGGGTGGTGCCGCCCCGACTACATTATTTATGCTCGATGCTGACCAGAGGAGGGATGTCCGACTGATCGATGACTCTTCTCTAACAGACAGTCTCGGGACCCTTTCGCATAGGCGGGCCGTCGGCGATCTAGCTCTCTTATATCGCTACACCAACGCGCTTCGCTCTTCAGAGCTCTCTTCCATGATGCCGCCACGCGATGTGCCTGCCAAACAAACCCGCCTGACTTTGACCTCCCATCCTAACCGTGTCGTGTTTGTTTTCGCAATCAAAAACATTGTTTTGTGTGGAATGGACTAGGATATGTCTCGGAGTCCCTCAGAATGTTTTTTTTGTTACCAGCAATGAAATTTGAATCTTTAATATTATTACACTAGTTAATTATACATGCCACGTACTTATTTTGTTCTCATATAATAAAATATTGCCTTTCTGAGGATTTCTGAGCATTTTCCATGTTTTTTTTCAAGATGGCCTTAACCAGATAGGACGCAATGGATTTAAGGAGCAATAATAGGATAAATTCTACACGTTCCACTGAGGTTAAATAATAACCAGCCCCAAATATCGTTTGCGTCCCCCCTAGATGAAAACATGAATCCGCCCTTGAATCGTACTGGTAATGTTTAGCAAGCATATCGGAGAACCTCAAGAGACACTTTTCAAGAAGATTCACTATGACTGAGGATACAACACTTATTTTTAAAACTAGTGGTGTACATTTTTATGCGCAATGTAAAGTTAATATAAAGAATCGGGGAAACGGAGAATTCCCGAACCTATGTCTATATTTAGATGGCCTTTTTAAATATTTATTCGTGATGAATCTGTACTTAAATTTTCCGGACATCATTGCATAACACCCTGTAGACATGGGATGTAGAAAATAGATGGTTAATTCATTCTTTTGTCTTCTAGTAACGGCTCAGCCAATTTGTCTTCCTGAATCTTGGTCTGTCACTAGCAATAATGGCATCCTAGTGGGTTGGGGGAAAACCGCTGGACAAACAGGTAAATAATAAATATACATGAGTTAGCTGTTTTTATTTCACTTATTAGGTATTCTTCCAGCAATGTCATAGGCCATTTCAAATGGTGTGACCAACCTTGAACTAACTGCCAAATTATTTTATGTAGTTATACTTGGAAAAGGCGACATAGTGTACTAGTAACGAAGCAAACAATAAGCTTATGTTAATCAGCATACGTTCATCTAAAACTAAGGTTGTTTCTACTATAATAATATTTTACGATATAATCACATGATGTTAAAGTGTTTCTTCTTGCTTTCGAGGACGTCATTGGTGGAATGATCGGAGCTAGTCTTAGCAACATTAAGAATGAGAATAAGGCATAGAAAAGCAAGGGCTTGAGGTGCTAAACCATCCGGGCTTCTGTCCTCATCACCAAATGAACGTTTTATTTTAAATAATTAATCCCAGAGTTTAAGATCGATATTTTTAGAACCAATAGTCGTTTCTAGATAGACAGATGGTCAAAAAGTTTTTTAGAAAATAAAAAGTGGCGGATTTTGTTTCAGGCATCAAAATAAGCAAATTCGAATATATATGTTTGAAATATGTACATATATAACCATTGTTAAAAACGTTAATCAATGAAATCAATGAAACAAAATTCTTTCATAAAATACTCTATCAGTTATCTGAAAACAGAAGATTAACATTTTATTATCATATTGTATATGCATAGTCGACCAATAGACACTGTGAGAGACGTCGTTGTCTGTAACATATAGATCAAGCTCATTCATTGAAATTCTTAAGTTTGCCAAAAAAGAGGAATGTTGATTTGATTAGATTTGGTTATTCTCTATATTCCTTAATAGTTTGTAAAACTTAGCAAGAAATACCTGTAGTTTTTATTTGGCAAGTACTATAAAGTTGACAAGCATCATTAACCCCAATTCAAAGAGCGAAATCTTAAAAACGTTTTTTAATAATAGTAACAAAAAAGATTTCTATCATACCAGATGAAAGTGTCTAAGTACCCTCTTTATTATTACACATATTCAGAATCAGATATTTTCACAATACAATATATCGGTTGATATAGAATTTTTCGAATTTTGCCATAAGAAAGTGTCGAATCAGCAGAAACCTTAAGTCTGCCACAGTAAAGTAGCGTGAGCAATGTTTCGTTACTATGCACTATGGCCAACATATTATTTAAGGTAATCACTTTGAAATAGGCAATGAACTTTGTTTCTTTAAGGTTCTTCCTGTTATGGATTTTTGCAAAAATTAATCACTATTTGTAGAGTATCTGAAAGTCGGCCGCTTTCGGGAGATCCATGAAACTTTTTATTTATTATACCACACCAAAACCATAAATAATTTATCGTGCATCTAATATTATTTTTCCAGTAACACCCCTCTATCAACAAGTCCTTCACCTGCCAATAGTAAGTGTCCAAGAATGTGAAAGAGTGTATGGACGCACGTTACCAGTTTCACTGGAAGAGAACGTTTGTGCGGGAGGAGAGGTTGGAAACGATGCCTGCAGTGGATTTGGTGGAGCCCCACTTGTTGTTAAACATGCTGACACGTTTTACCAGGTTTGTACGGTTTCGCCATCATGATTAAACCGCCGGTTCCGAAGCGTGGCTGACCTAGTAATGACTACACTATAACTATCTAAAACTGTAATGACTCATCGATGTTCACGTGAACATCACTTATCTACCAGTAGTCGGCTGTTCATAGGCGGGGTATGAATGTTTAACATGGGTGAACTAGATTTGTCACATGCTTAATAAAGAGTGGTTTGAAACATATTGTAAGTCAAAAATTTGGGAATTACCTTTATTCATCGTTGCTTCCACTTACATCTGACAGTAATAAACTGTCGCTATCGCTTTCCTCGTTGAAATTGACTATAACTGGCTCTATGATGGTGTCGATGTGGTGGTCAAGCTGCCACATTTTTGTTTCTTCCTTCACAACATGACGGATAGCATTCTGCCAAGCTTCGGGCGTTACTAGCTGTATGGAAGTCTCAAGTAAAACCTTAACGTCTGGTAATTTGAAGGTTGTGTTATGGCGTGCAATATAACCCTTCACTTGAGCCCAGATGAGCTCTATTGGGTTCAGTTCACAGTGGTAGCGCGGTAACCGCAGCACAGTGACACCACATTGACGGGCCATCTCATCAGTCACGTAACTAATGTTCGCAGGTTTGTGCTGTTTAATTTTTTCATACAATTCCGCTTTCACACATGAATCGTCAAACGCAACCATTGTTGCATGTCACTTTTTCGAGATCCCATAGTCGGTACACGTTCGGCTCGACGACTATGGTAGGAAGCATTATCCATGACGATCACAGAGTTGGGCTCAACTCGCTGAAGCACCCCTTGAAACCAGCTCTCGAAGCAGCTGGCATTCATTTCGTCATGGTAATCACCTCCTTTCTTAGAGACGAAAATCAAGTCACACTCTTCTAAAAAGCCACTATCGCTACCAATATGAGTTACGATCAATCTTTGACCTTTCCCTGACGGTCCACGAAGACCTGTTGACAAACCTTCAATGCTTGCTTGTCGGTTACTCACTACGTTTTTGTCTATCCAGGTTTTTTTTAACTGTGTGACCTGCATTTACCCACGTCTCGTCCAAATAATAGATTTTTCTGCTTTGTCGCCTATATTCAATCATTTCGCTTAGGTATTTTCGACGCCAGGCGACTATTTCAGGTCTCTCTATCAATACTGACTTCCGATTACGCGTTTCGTAACGAAAATAGTCAAATCACGGAGGACGTTTTTGTTAAAGGTTCGATACACTCTTTGGTTTCGATCTTCGATTCTGTCATGTGAAACGTGACAAAACAAAAATTCTATAAAAATCATAGTTTTCACCTACTCAGTGTATTTCCCCAAATGAACTATGCAACTAGCGCATGTGCATCAGTCAAAATTTCAATTTTGCCTTTTATGTAGGATTGTATTGTGACGTATAATTCAACATCAACGGCTTCAGTTTTTAGGCAAATAAAATGCATTGCATAATCTTGCATATTCAAAGTACTATATTCGTAATATGACAATATAAAACTCTGAAAAAAGATTCTCGTCGTAAATTGGCATGGTCCGTGCTGGAAGTTACGAGGTCTGCAAATTAAGTGATGAGACTGATGGTTTTTTAATTTTTTTTTTCATATATAATTACAATTTTATATTGTTACGCTCGGAATAACTTCCTTCTGAAGTCACTTCGCGCTTGAGACGGTTCTTCCACTCCACATAGTAGTGCTGGAACTGTGATACTGGAATAGCTTTCAGCTGGTCGGTTAAAGTCGTTTGAATGTTTTCGACTGTCAAAAAATGAGTTCCTTTGAGGTAATTTTTGAACTTCGGGAAGAGAAAAAACTCACAAGGATTCAAGTTGGGCGGATATGGAGGCTGGGGAATGTTTTTACCGGTCAAAAGCTTCATTATTGACATTGCAGTGTGACAAGGAGCATTCTCGTGATGCAACACCCAGTTGCTCTTGATCTGACGAACGGTCAGTAGAACACAATAGGAAAAACTGTTTCATGAAAAAAATCACTACGGAAAACCAAATGACTCTTGCGAGTTCAAACTTGTATTGAAGGCGGATCACATGTTCCCATATCTCTCCTCCAAGCCCGGTGCCTCTAGTTTTGCATGTATCATCACTTAATTTATAGACCTCGTAGGTATATAAGTCATAATTCATAAGAAGTTAAAAGCCTGTGATACTTTCATTTTTATCGTTCACATCAATTGAAAGCTGAATTACAGCATTTTCGAGAAATTGAGGCTTTTTATCTTTTACTTAAAATATTAACTCGACTTCTGGTTTCGATATTGCGCCTATGTGTAGTTATCTGTAGGTTCTAATAAGTTGGTGGACCATGGAACACCACAATAACAAATGAACAGTTATTGTTCCCTCATTTACTTGATCATTTTATTATGTAACTTATAAGCATTTATATGGCAAAGTTAATCATAATTGAATTTAAGTTTTACTAAACTCTTCCGAACGGCCTTGCAAGGAATAAAGCGCCATACAAACACCGATGTAATGAATCAATCGTGATCAAAAAAGGTCTGTTATCAAAGTGGAACATTAAATATTAACAAAATAATATATTCTCAAAAACAATACTCAACGAACATTACTCGAACACATGACCTCAAATGTAAAATCTGTTGTTCATACCCGTATATTGGTGTGCGTTTTTTTCCTTATATATTTTTGACGAATTACAAAAAAAACAATGGTGAATTCGACAATATATCATATCAATACTCAAAAACCTCACTGTAGCGATATTCATAGCGACCGCCCCCCTTTTTCCTAGCTCGGCAAAAATTAAATGGAGAAAACGTTTTTTACAAAAATTAGATAATTCATGTACAGCACACACACACACAACTTAATGTGGCCCAAGGGCCACTTCAAACAAAAATGCAGTTTGGAGGGCCGCATTATAAAATCTTTCTATACAACATTATTACTGAGTTTTAATAGTTTTTCTATTATTTTTATTTATTAAAAAAATATGAAATTACAAAAAAATCAGTGGGACATTTGAGGATGTTGGTTTTCTAATACTGATGCATCAATATTAACATTAATATTTGTTGTTGATAAACGAAGTAACTGAGTAAGTGACTTATCAAAGAGGGAACATCTATACTTTGACTTGATAAATTTCATGTTGGAAAAGCTGCTTTCGCAAAGATACGTGCTTCCTATCATTGATCCCATTGTAAGTTTCGCAAGTTTGGGTATCGTTCTAATGGCAGTAACTTAAAAAAGTCCAAGCCAGTTTCAGTTCTTCCTTGGTAAAAAGGATCTGATTGCAAATCACACAATTCCAGTTGAAGGTCTGGTCTGCTTACGTTCTCAACAGAAATTGTTAGTGGCTGAGTAAAAACTGAAATGTCACTTTCGATTTTTTTAAAGTCACTAAATCGATTTTTGAATTCTTCTGCCATTGTGTCAATGTATTTTATATGAGGTAAATATGAAACTTCCTCAAAATCCTTCATTTCTTCGAAATGTTCTTTACAACTTGGAAAAAGTGAAAAATCATTTTTTTGTAATGAAGACTTGAAAAGCTTAATTTTATTCTTAAACCCATTTATGTGTCCAAATAAGCTGGCAATATTCTGCTGTTTTCCTTTTTGCTTCAAATTCAATTCGTTAAGGTGAGATGTCATATCTGTTAAAAAATGCAAGGTCTGCTAAAAATTGTGCATCTGCCATTTGATTTTCCAGTTCCGTAGTGTCGGACTTCACTTTATTTTTAAGGAAAATAGGAATTTCCTTGCGTAGAGCGAAAAATCGTTGCAAACACTTTCCGGCGCTTAACCAACGAACATCGGTGTGAAGTAACAAGTCGCCATATGTAGCATCCACTTCGGCCAAAAAATCACAAAACTTTCTGTGAGGCAAAGCCCCCTCTAACAATATTAGTTATTTTAACAGCCACATTCATGACATTTATTTGACGTAAATATTTTCTACATAAGCTCTCTTGGAGAACAATACAATGCATCATAGGACAGTTGTTTCGTGTAACGTAGTGTAATGTCGTTACATATTATATTCTTTAGGAACCGTTAGTACTTGCATACAAACAATGCACTGAAGCTTATTATTATTGTTCGAGATTAAATATTCTGATTCCCAACGGTCATTATAAACTCGATGTTCGTTCGTTATTTTTCGTTTCTGTGAAGACATATTTCACGGAGTATTTCACTTAAAAAGGCTTTAGAGTTGCTGTGTAATGAAACGCACTAGCACTAGAACAAAACTGCCTGTCCCGCTTGATTCAACCTTCTTATATACGCGCCCGTGGCTTCTCGAATATTTATTATAGTTGTAGTCACTGTTTCTTGGCGGTTACGTCATCAACGCCATACGAAATAAGTAAACAGATCGAGTCTCCGTACGACCATGGGCGGGACACTGCTCAGACTAATCTTCAGCGCATCTGCTACTGTCTCCAGTACGTATGAAGTGGGTAAAAGGGGACCGCTGTTTTCATTCTCTTCTTGGAAATACTCTGATAAATTTAGCACGAGCTGAGTTGTCACTCTGACAAATATGATTGAAGGGCACTCATACTTAAAGTCAAAGTTTTTGATACGGAGACACACGACTAAAAAAAGTATGTCTTTGAGCTTAATGAACAAACGTTCACACACAGGGGTAGGTAGCATGTGTATGTAAGAGGGAGATGTAGATATGTAAAGGGATACTGGTAGTCTTACTTTGACCCGCGAAGAACGGTGACTACAACTATAGATGAGAAACTATTATAATTAGTTGAAATCTATATGTTAGATATAAACTTAATTTTGCTAAAAACACTATATATGTTAGGCGTGTTTCAAATTCGAACATCGCCTTTGAAGTCTCGAACGGTAAAGCGAATGTCTCACGATCAGTATTTACTGTGGTCCATATAATCAGTGAATTTCTGCGTCCAGGCTCCACGGTCAATAAATATCATACATTTATTGACGGAGTTGCGTAGGTAAATAGAAAGATTTAACTTGGACAGTTTGTAAATTCAAAGTATTTCCGTCGTATTTATTTTTTCCTGACTACACGGTGGCATAATCAATTCCTCATTCGATGAGTTTAAACCAACTACATGAAGTTAGGCACTTGAAGTTTTATATCAGTGGATAACATCTATAATTTTTGTTATTCTATGAAAGAAATGACTATATGATAGTTTCACAGCTTACTCAAGAAAAATGTTTTTTTTTAAAATAATGTATGATATGCTATGATACTTGAAACCAGAATTGAAAGTTATGATGTCGTTGCATTCGTAGAAAAAGATGCTATCAGATACTGGGTGTGCATTTTTTTCGGACGATTTAAAAAAATAAAGTTGTTGATGGTTTCTCATAAACGAAACGTCGGGCACAAAATTTAAAAACACCATCATGTAGTGCCTAAAAAGTGTAAATGAAAAAGTTGCATTAGTTTTCTGATATTCTTTAAAATAAAGTTAGAAAAAATAAAAGCGATTTGGCCAAGTTTTAGTTTATCCCAAATGCCTTAGTATGCCATGAAATTTTCACAAGTTTCTCAAGGCATGTAAATACGACCCAAAGAACGCAGCACGTATTCAAAATCCCCACGCATAGGATCCTTATCTTGGACACCCTGTAAGCACGTGCAGTATGAATCCTATAAATGCATGAAGATACCTGCAGTTTTGGGTGATTTGAGACATGTTTGACTGCCTAGGGTTCATCTTCAAATTTTCAGTTTTATTTTTAATTGTTCTTGTTCATTCTCGCCGGTTAATACGTTTCGGTATTCTATCTAAATCAAAATTATTGTACAGGTTGTCAATTAAGTGCCATAAATTTAACAGACGATTCTTTGATTAATTTTAAAACAAAAAGTTCATATAAACATAAGTCCGTAACAAAAACATCAAATACTAAATAACATTAACATAATTAGTAATAATAAATTATAAAAAAATAATAATTTCCAAAAGAAACTTTTCCACATATTGCTCGTTTGGTCCAGGGATTTGCAATTAAGTGGTCTTATTTTTCTCGAGAACTGAGCAAGATACGAAAAAAATATAAGTAACTAAAAGTTGTATCTCTATTTGCTTAATCCAAAGAACATAATGAAAATTAGTGGCGTACATTTTATTATCACAAATATCGTTGAGATCCCGGTAGGGACGCCACTGGACCTAATAAATGTAATCAAGTCAGGGCTAAATTAGCTCCTGAACGTTATAAATACCAACTCCAAATAACTCAAAAATTAGGTAAATGATATTTAAGATCTTTACGAAAAACCATTTATACAAAATTTTAACATTCTGTATCTTCAGAAGGAAGAATGAACTTTTCGTTTTAAAATTACTCAAAGAATCGACTGCTAAATTTGTGGTACATACTTAATTAACACCCTGTATAGTGATCTCATGGACAGCTCATGGGGTTATTCGAAGGATATCCATGGTTATCATAAAAGCCCCGGAAATTATGTATATTCATCAGAATTCCATTAGATGTCACACATGGGCTGGATATACCATGGATGTGGTGGATATCTAATGTATATACAATAGATGTTATGTGCTGCCTGGGCCTACCGTAAAACTAAAAATGTATTCATCAAAATGATTAAAACATACTTTTAACGCGTGCTATATCGATTTTCAATAATCTTTATAATGGAATAAAAAAACTGATCAAATGAATGACCTTCTCATGGATCACTTCCTGGTAAGGCCATAATGTTCCAGATGGCGTTAAAGTCCTACAATTTATTAAATATTGGGGTGATATACTTTAAAAACCGGTACAATATATCCGAATTTCTCCAACAACTAAAAACATCTTGATTTTGCTTACAAGGAGCCATTGGCCTTTGTAGGAACAATACCGATATCTTAACTAAAATGGAAATATTTTTTTAATACCATATATAGCAAATACTTATAATAAATATATATTCGGAGGAATTTAAAGAACATAACAGTTTATTTGCTGGAACACTTAAGTCTTAAAATATCAACGTCGATGACCGAAGCCAACAAAGTGAGGGGTCACATTGACAAAATAACTATGCGAGCGATTGGTCGCAGCATCTATGTTTTTGAGTTAGATGGGTGTTACTGTTATCGCATAACAAAAACTACGAATTTTCAATGGTAAGCCTTACAAAGAGCATTGCTTTCCATGGTCCAACCAAGGCTTTAGAGCGGCTCCTGCAATACTTAACAACCGCGTTTTGGGCTTTCACGTAGTACAAACACAATGCAACTTTATTGCTTGGATAGTTTCTGCTTATTTTACGTAGGAGTTGATTCATAAATTGTTATTTTTCAGGTCGGTATATTGTCCTTTGGATCTGACCAGTGCGGAGCCAGCGGAGTGCCAAGTGTTTATACAAATATAAAGAAATACATAACATGGATCAGAGAAAACACTCCTGTAGATTATAACTAGGTTTATGTTGCATTTTGATTAAATAATATTTTGTAATAAAATATCTGCTATAACACGATATAATAATATTTTTTTATTAAAAAGCCTTTATATGGTTACACTAAGGGTTGTATCGTCAGTCGTTCCTACAATTGTGGGACGCCTTTATGGCCTTCTTGATTGTCATAGTCTTTTCTCTCTTCAAAAATTTCTAGATTGCACCCGTCCCTTGTCAGCATGAGTGCTCTCCTATTGTAAAGTTATGTTTTCTTTTTGAATTGTAAGAAATTTCAGGCCGATAAAACATATAAATCAGAAGCATGAACAATTTGATGCAAATAGATATTTGTAACATAACCTCAAAGTAGAGCGCTTACACGGAAAAGTAGAAAACTATGAAAATCAAGGAGACCAAAAAGGCGTCCTACAATTGCGCTATATTTTGAGGTTATGTTACAAATATCTATGTGCATCAAATTATTCGCACTTTTGATTTATATCATGAGTTATCCAGCCTAAAATTGTCTATAATTCAAGAATAAAACATAGCCTCGCAATAATAGGGCGCTGACACTGACACGGAGTGGAGAAATCTAGAAATATCCCAACCTTTCTGAAGGAGAGGAAAGTCTGTGAAAATCAAGAAGGCCATACAATTGTAGGAACAACTGGCGATACGGCTATTAGTGCATATTTCGCGCCAGTGTAGCCTTTTTTGAAAAATTGCATGATATGAATACCGAATCGACCTTAAATTTTTTAATTCATACATTTCGTTTGTTAAATATTGTTGTTACTATTTTACCACTTAGGGTGCTGAAGTCGAGTACCCGCCATGTGTCGTACACTTAAGCCCTGAACGTAAAAACATATCTTCATTATTTATTGTAAAGTCAATTTTCAAAAATTCGTTTTTCGGTGGTTGCTCCAATTACGAACACAGTTACGACAATGCAGAGGACGGTGTAAAAAATCAGATCACCATTTTCTTATTGAATTGAAAATCATTAATAACATCTAAATGTATGTTTTAAAAGTGTATATTGTAATGTTCAACACTATTAAGTCAAATAATACCTTCCTGAAATCTTACATAATATATTCCTGATTTGTAAAACGTGTGCCAAAACATCCCTAGTAAATATTTTCTGTCAATAATACAGAATGTATTTAAAACAGGAACATAGCTTGTAGTTCATTAGAGACAGAAATTGCAGACGTAGGTACTCTCCTTTTCTGTGCTTTATTTCCTTTTTCCATTCGATCTTCTTCTTCAATTAAAAAATATATATTGGTATAAAGGATTGCTGCAAATATCTAGTAATAATAATGAAAATTGCAGCATTGCTCCAAAACTTTTTAACTATCAAAATACATAATCGTTGATAAACATAGTAACATGAGACAGGAGGAGTTCGTGCCTTTCAATACGACGTGGATTTTGTATATACTTCGAAGTTGAGTCATTTATTTTAACAGTGAGTAGATCTGATCAAAAGAAATATTTTTTTCCTTTACCATTTTTCTGGTAAAATTAAAGTAACAAAGTTATAGCCCTTTGGAAGTTTGAGTACCGCCCTGTCTCAATAATAATAAATTATGTGCTCGTGTTTGGCGACAACGGATATAATCCGCCGTATCGGTTCATCGCATCGGAAACAAAAAAGCGAAAGAATTTGGAACGATGTTTTTACAATTTTTTTATTCATTTGTATACAGTCAGTGTCAGTGAATAGTAGTGTCTGTTGCGTGGCTCAAACGAAATAAAAAATGGCACATGTTTATGCGGATCGGTTTCCCAATCGAGTGCAACCAACCCCTCGTGCCTTTGTTAATGTAGTACAACGGGCTCGTGAATCAGGTGACGGCATGCCGGTGCTCCAAGACCTCACGATCAAATACAGGTCCGCACTGAAATACTTGTCGGGAGGATACTTTATAAAACAAGGTAAAATTTTTTTATTTTTTTTTTTATTTTTACACACATATTTTGGTTTATCTTCCTTCTACAATCATTATCTGAAAATTAATGACTCAACTTCAAAGTCACCCTGTATATATATACAGGGTGACTTCGAAGTTGAGTCTTTTATTTTAACAGCGAGTAGATCTGATCAAAATAAATGTTTTTTTCCTTTAACATTTTTGTGGTAAAATTAAAGTAACAAAGTTATAGCCCTTTAGAAGTTTGAGTACCGCCCTGTCTCAATAATAATATTATGTGCTCGTGTTTGGCAACAACGGATATAATCCGCCTTATCGGTTCATCGCATCGGAAACAAAAAAGCGAAAGAATTTGAAACGCTTATCACGATGTTTTATTCATTTATTTTATTCAGTTGTATTCAGTCAATGTGTCAGTCGGTAACGCGTGAGTGAATAGTGGTGTTTGTTGCATGGCTCAAACGAAATAAAAAATGGCACATGTTTACGAAAATGCTGAACTTGTGGACATGATTCTTATTTACGGGGGGGTTGTCTTTACAAAATGCTGCCGCGGCATCACGGATTTATGCGGATCGGTTCCCAATCGAGTGCAAGCAACCCCTCGTGCCTTTGTTAATGTAGTACAAAGAGCTGGTGACTTAAGACCTCACAGGGGAGGGCATGCCGGTGCTCCAAGACCGCACGATCAAATACAGGTCCGCACTGAAATACTTGTCGGGAGGATACTTTATAAAACAAGGTAACATTTTTTTTTTATTTTTACACACATATTTTGGTTTATCTTCCTTCTACAATCATTATCTGAAAATTAATGACTCAACTTCAAAGTCACCCTGTATATATATATGAGCAGAAGTCATTGCCAAAGCCAACGACCAGTTGGGCACAAAATACAATTAATTGTTAATTGGGAAATTGGCAAATTTTTTAGGATTAAGTTGACTCTTTTGACGATAAAATCAAGCTTTCGGCATTCTCTATGGAGCCTTCATCAGGATTCTGAAAACACAATTGTAATGCTAGCAAAGAAAACAGGACAGGTTTAAATTGTCAAACAACTTACTCGTCGTTGAGGTTGCAGCCACAAGGTGTTTCAAAACGAACGTAGAGAAGATAGAACTTGTAATAAGTATAAAAACAAAAGGACGGAGACATTGGGCTTGTTGATAACGACAGATACCTTCGTTACATGTTAAAAATATCAATACACCCGAACATATTAAAAATTATTAAAATATCTTCTCATGTTATCGTCAAAAGAGTCAACTTAAGGCTAAAAAAATTTGCCAATTTCCCAATTAACAATTAATTGTATATATATAGGTATATTTTTCGCCCACCATACAATGTGAGGACCCCGCATGTAAAATTTACATACAAAGTGAGGACCGCAACAAAGTGAGGTCCGTACGCGGACAGACCCTATGTATCGTGTTCCCCATCCTCTAATCATTAAGAAAACGTGAAAAAAAATGGTCCTCAGTTTGTACCCAGCATGCCTGTACCCGGCGCGCGCGCGGAATGTATTTTCCATACGTGTATATTTTACAGTCAATAGAAAACTGTGCGACACACCAAGTGAGGACCGCAAGCAAGGCAACAACTGTCAGTCCTCGGAAGGTGGGTCATACAAACTGGACATTCCAATCCACATTATATATTTCTTATAGGACAATAATAATCAGCATCAGCGGACGATACGCTGTGTCAGACCTACTCGAACGTCGTCACGTGAAACACGTAAGCCGCGGTAAGGACGTCAGAGTGCACTGTAAGATGTGTTTATGGTTTATGAAATCGGTCTCGTATTAGGAAATCAGTGTCAAGTATATAGCTTTTCGGTTCATAGGAGCACGCGATTCTCATCTAACATTAAAAAGGTGCCGTTTTAGGTGAGAAAGCTTTGAGACAGCTACTAATGATTTTGCGCTTGGCAAGTAGCACTTGTCGAATTGTTACTACAGACCATAAGCGCGAAGGTCTTTTAAGAAATCTAAGAAACACACTTTATGCAAGAAAGTTTTGTGACTGCTCGCAACGAACTTGAATCTAAATGGTAAAACTTGTCCCATTTGGGTTATTATCAGAGAGGGAACCTTTCTGTGAGAAATTTGTATGCTAAACTATACCGAGGAACTGCATCTGCTAAAAATATGTAAGAGATATTTGACAGAGATCCAATTTTTGAACTCTTCAAGATCACTAAGCTGGGAAAAACTTGGATCAACCTTACCGGCTAGTTCTCGATGAACGGAGTTCTTAAGAGTTAAAATGTGTAATGGAAGTGCGCCGAGTTTGTCTGGTAGGATTAACGCATGGCAGCACCATGATTTGACTAATAAGTCATACTTAGAAATGGCCACCGATTCGCAAAATACGTCACAGGGAGTGTATCTAATTATTGGGCTAAATGTATGACATCAAAACACGTTGTATTTAGAAAAAATCGTGCAGTCAGCCATATTTTATGAAGTTGATCGTGGCTGGTATTTGAAGTCCCCTATGTTACCATTCGTTGAATTTGAATTCTATACTAAAGTTAGTACTATCAAAAAATTAGCACATTTCAAATATATTTTGATCTTCTCTGTAAGTGGAGTTACTATCATCTGACCCCTTTTTGTACCAAGCAGCTTGTCCTTTTTTTTCTACCACACTAGAATCACTTGAACTTTTATGGAACATAAACGTTCATCTTGCGAATATGGTTTTTGTAACTAGTATAATATGAAGTAGTACTAGTATACCATGTGTGGAGCACAATATCTTGTATCAATACAATTGACTTGTAATTAATATACCATACTTTTTATGGAATATGGCCTCAGTAACAAGCAAATACAAGTACCTATTAGAGTGCAATACTGTGAAAAAATGACAATTCGTAGGGATGTTGATTTGAAAAGGCGCTTTAAAGGAATTATGCATTTTAATAAGTTGATTCAGCAAGATATTAACGAAAGCATATGCATGGAAAATCTTATAAAAATCAGACTGGCGGTCCGGTAAGAGCTTTTCGAAGACAGACACGTGACAGTACCTACTATAGAAATACTTATACCCCTTATCGTCCAATCATTGTATATGATACCTTTGAAAAACATTCGATGATGATTTTCTTGAAAAGTGACCGATCGAGATGTCATAATAATCCATGAAACATTCTTCTATAGTTCAAATAATGTAGAAATGAGGTTCATTCAAAAGTGGAACGATTCAATAGAATAAAAAGATGAAAAACAGGTTTGCAGAGAGAACATCTTAAGTTGAATCAACTGTGTTATAATAAAACATTGTGAGAAATTACACTACGCTAATCGATTTAGATAAATTTATGAGTACTGTCTTCGCTGAATTTGTGTAGCTATTCATCTTCATTTTGGTTGGTAAGTTCACTCCCTACGTTAACATTCAATGCATTTGAATTATATATTAAAATTGCTTCTACAAAAAAAGCTGACACTTTACAAATCTTATTTGCCCTTTATACCTGTTCGTATTATTACTTGACTTTTTTTACGCAATAGTTTCAAACAACTATTGCAACTTTTTTCTACCAAACAAGAACCACTCATAGAAAGTGGATCTGATATAACAAGATAAATATTACCACTTGAACTTTTAAACATACGTATGTGACTTGTGAATAAAGCTTGTCACTGAAGTCTGTGCGGTACAACCTTTTGTTAATTGATATCCACTAATAATATATCACAGCGATGCCACGGATATCTGCGTTTTTAAAAGGATATATTGGGAACAGAAACTTTGTATGGCTACCATAACGTCATATTGGATTTTTCAGTTTTTGATTGCACATAAATATTCAAAATTCCCTCGCAAATCGGCATCTCTCGAATGTTAGAAGAAAATCACCCTCATATCAAAAGTCGACGAAAGTAGTTCGTATCACAAGTCTCAAAGTATTATCGTATATCTTAAATTTCTCACACTAAACTTTGCCTTCTTGATAATCATCTACCTAATTTAAAGAAAACAGTTTATAGCTAACAGTGGAAACATTGTAAACCATAATTTCTAGGCTTTGCCATCTAGATGCAAAAGTCAATACTTGCGGTATCAAGACTTGGCCGTACTTCTCTGATCTTATATGAAAAATGTCCCCTCTGATACACTTACTCAATTAACAAGTGCTATCTTCTAAGCAATTCCAGTTTCTAAGCCTCATCACTAGAACCATTATTCTTCAGATGCCACATAAAAATGTCTTCCTCCAAACTCAAATTGAAAAAACTACAGTAACTTCACAGGTATACTGTCATGACTTGCAGTTTCAAAGCTTTCTAAATCCACTGATTTCTGAGGCAAGATCCTCAAACGGTATTAAAAAACACGCATGAGGTCATGTATCCTAATCCGCCAAATATCGTTATTATCTAAATGAGTCTCTACTTGATGTAATTTTGTTATTGCGTGTTGTGAAGTTTCCCTCTCCTGTATGGGTCACATTTCGCAGACTCTCACGAAATTTATCTTAATTCGCCCAATCACTTTATTCCTAGAGTGAGTCAACCTACTTGAAGTCATTTTAATGGTGCATGGAGGGGTGTTTCACGCTCCTGAGTGGACGACATGTCACAGATGCTTACGTGTCTCCTAATCCGCTAAATATCGTGATTCCCGAACGAGTCAACTTTCTCGACGTCATTTTGTTATTGCATGTTGGGGTATTTCACTTTCCTACATGGATCGCATTTCGCAAACGCTCACGAAATGTATCTGGTAATTATTAATGTTACTGAAACAGTCAACAACTATCTCTATCTCTATATCTCTCTATTTCTCTATTGCCGACATCACAGCTACGTATCAAATAAAGAGAACTTTGACAAAAACTAGTTGACATAGGCAACCTTGTACGGTCCTCACTCTGTATGCTAAGTAAGAATATATCCTAAAAAGTCCTCGTGTTTCACTATATGGACCTCGTTATGTTAGGAGCTCAGTCGGTCCTCACTTTGTCCTATATACAAGTCAAAAGCTTCAAATAGTTTTTTCCGCGTATACTCGCTACTTTTAAACATAACAATGGCGTGCTATCAGCTCATGACTTAAACCACATTTGCATAGCTGCACTCCTTCTGGTGGTCCTCACTTTGTATGGTATATACAGGGTGACTTTGAAGTTGAGTTAATTTTCAGATAATAATAGAAGGAAAATAAACCAAAATATGTGTCTAAAAATAAAAAAAATGTTACCTTGTTTTATAAAGTATCCTCTCGACAAGTATTTCAGTGCGAACCTGTATTTGATCGTGCGGTCTTGGAGCACCGGCATGCCCTCCCCTGGAGGTCTTAATTCACCTGATTCACGAGCCCTTTGTACTACATTAACAAAGGCACGAGGGGTTGGTTGCACTCGATTGGGAACCGATCCGCATAAATCCGTGATGCCGCGGCAGCATTTTGTAAAGACAACCCCCCCGTAAATAAGAATCATGTCCACAAGTTCAGCATTTTCGTAACAGACACTACTATTCACTGACACTGACTGTATACAAATGAATAAAATTGTAGCAAAAACATCGTGATAAGCGTTTCAAATTCTTTCGCTTTTTTGTTTCCGATGCGATGAACCGATAAGGCGGATTATATCCGTTGTTGCCAAACACGAGCACATAATATTATTATTGAGACAGGGCGGTACTCAAACTTCTAAAGGGCTATAACTTTGTTACTTTAATTTTACCAGAAAAATGTTAAAGGAAAAAAACATTTCTTTTGATCAGATCTACTCACTGTTAAAATAAATGACTCAACTTCGAAGTATATACAAGTTGAGTCATTTATTTTAACAGTGAGTAGATCTGATCAAAAGAAATGTTTTTTCCTTTAACATTTTTGTGGTAAAATTAAAGTAACAAAGTTAAGCCCTTTAGAAGTTTGAGTACCGCCCTGTCTCAATAATAATATTATGTGCTCGTGTTTGGCAACAACGGATATAATCCGCCTTATCGGTTCATCGCATCGGAAACAAAAAAGCGAAAGAATTTGAAACGCTTTTACTACAATTTTATTCAGTTGTATTCAGTCAATGTGTCAGTCGGTAACGCGTGAGTGAATAGTGGTGTTTGTTGCGTGGCTCAAACTAAATAAAAAATGGCACATGTTTACGAACATGCTGAACTTCTGGACATGATTCTTATTTACGGGGGGAGGCACCACGGATTTATGCGGATCGGTTTCCCAATCGAGTGCAACCAACCCCTCGTGCCTTTGTTAATGTAGTACAAAGGGCTCGTGAATCAGGTGACTTAAGACCTCACAGGAGAGCGCATGCCGGTGCTCCAAGACCGCACGATCCAATACAGGTCCGCACTGAAATACTTGTCGGGAGGATACTTTATTAATCAAGGTAACATTTTTTTTTTTATTTTTTTTTATTTTTACACACATATTTTGGTTTATCTTCCTTCTACAATCATTATCTGAAAATTAATGACTCAACTTCAAAGTCACCCTGTATATATATACATATATATATACATAGTATTTCAGTGCGGACCTGTATTTGATCGTGCGGTCTTGGAGCAGCATGCCCTCACCTGTGAGGTCTTAAGTCACCTGATTCACGAGCCCTTTGCACTACATTAACAAAGGCACGAGGGGTTGGTTGCACTCGATTGGGAAACCGATTCGCATAAATCCGTGATGCATCCGGGAGCATTTTGTAAAGACTGCCCCCCCGTAAATAAGAATCATGTCCACAAGTTCAGCATTTTCGTAAACATGTGCCATTTTTGATTTCGTTTGAGCCACGCAACACACTACTATTCACTCACGTTTTATCGACTGACGAAAAACATCGTGATAAACGTTTCAAATTCTTTCGCTTTTTTGTTTCCGATGCGATGAACCGGTCAGCGGATTATATCCGTTGTCGCCAAACACGAGCATATAATAGGCAGGGCGGTACTCAAACTTCCAAAGGGCTATAACTTTGTTACTTTAATTTTACCAGAAAAATGGTAAAGGAAAAAAACATTTCTTTTGATCAGATCTACTCACTGTTAAAATAAATGACTCAACTTCGAAGTCACCCTGTATATATGTATATATATATTACCATACTCGAAGAATACATTGCTTGCTTTAATAAGTATAGTAAACAAAAATACTAAAATCTGGAAAAATATTCTGAAATCGGGCTCCAAAAATGTTTAAGAGGGTTGTCTGGTACTTAACCAACGCAGCATTTAAGGACTTCAATTTTATACTTCACTGAAACTTGTACATTTATTCTGTGAAGAACTGTTTCGATTTTCACCTCTAATGATTCTGAATCTACCACTTCGGCCTTGTTATAAAGAATGTGGAGGACTATTATTTCCTCAGTCCGCACTAATTAAATAATTAAATATTCAGCTAGAAAATTCCAGTTACCAACACTCGAAACTATTTTCTGATACCCTTGTATACCGAGGCTTAACAATTCAAGCACCAGATGGCGCAATATGAATGCTGTCGAAGCTACAATCTACAATCCACCCTTTCCCTAACGTCGGTCGCCTCGTATTGCTTGTGGTTCGTGTTTCGTGCTTTGCTTTTTTTGTGGTGTTGTCATTGTCATCGCATTCGCATCTCCTTTGTGGGGGTACAAAAACATCAAATTTGACAACTAAAAACAAATGGAAATTGATATTTGCTGAGATCATATAGAATTCTATCGAATAAACATTTATTCTACACTGTTCTATAAAAATGCTTATTGAAAATTGATTAAAAGGTGACTGTCTATATCAGGTAGGTATATTTTTGTATATTCACAACTTGGATTTCAGATGGACTCCAAACTCAAAAGATGGAAGGATAAACGTGAGCTCCTAAAGCTATTACAATTCAGGGAATATAATGCAGAATGTTCCAGAACAGTTAAGCAAACCTTACAGTTTACGGATAGTCTGATTAAAAGGCTAGGATTAGAGTTTGAATTGGAAGGCCACCAAGGATGTGTCAATTGTCTGCAGTGGACTCCAGATGGAAAGTATGTTGAACACAAAAAAGGATTACTCGAAATTACTAACTGATTATCATATTCTAGGCATCTGGCTTCAGGTAGTGATGACACTAATGTTATTTTGTGGGACCCTTTCAGACACAAACAGCTGGAAGTTATACCTACACACCATATAGGAAATATATTTTCTGTAAAGGTATGCCTTATGAACATTTTTCCTTTTGTTAGCTTACTAATTTGTAAATCCTTATCAATTTAAGGCAGTTTTTAGTGGTAGTCTCATATAGACATAAATACTGTCAGTAGGTCAGAACTAAAGTTGCCACTGTTACAGGCATTCATGTGGCCCCTAGCTTCTAGTCAGAGTGTTTTAGATACAAACTCCCTTTATGTCATAAACCTGAAACTTCTGTTGTTAATTTGTTTAGCCTTAGAATGAAGTGCAGGGGATAAGACATTTTGAATGCATCCGCTTCTCATTTTTGTTTCATTTTGGATTTTGGGCATAACAGTAGCTAGCACTATTTCATTTTTGGAAATCAGTCAAGTGTGATCACTTCAGGTCATAGTATTAAAGATCTAAGTATATAGGTCATACACATTATTTATGTTTTGCACCTTATGCAGGGGTTTCAAATTTGACCCTCACCATTGGGATCTCAGAAACTGCAACAGATACAAAATTGGTTAAATGAGGGCAAATTTGTGTATTTAGGCAATCAACAAAATGCTGCTTAGAAAAGTTCAAAGTACTTCTGGGGAGAGAAGGAATCGTTTTAATTTTTTCCTAACTTTATTTGTAGTCGGATTTTAATATAAATTCCACTTTATTACCACTTTTTCTCCTGTATAAGGTGGTATAATTAGAATTCCAATATAATGTTTCATCTCTTTTCATCCAGCATCAACTTTACTTTTTCATATACATGCCACACTGGATTTTTGCACAGATGAATAGAGTTTTTAATTCTGATTCCAAAAATGCATAATATACCCTATTTCACGAGTATCCCTCATGCTTTGATGTCTACTAAGGTGAACGGCTGATCATCAAGTGAAATTTTTGTGTTAGTCTGCAATGTTGGTAATAATGAACCTGGTTTAAATCTAGTAAAACTTGTTTGTAGTGTTTTTGTATGCAAATGATCTTTTCTAAATAACAGAGCTTTTAGCAAGGAGAAAATGAATGTATCTGTCAGAATTGAGTGCTCTGCCAATATGGGGAATTTTGAAAAATGAAAAAAAAGACTATATGTCATGCATTGAAATTACCAAACCTTAGGTTTCTTGTGCATCAATAACGATCCTCCACTGCAACTCTTTGGTCTCTTTTGGTTAAATCTGCCAAACCTTAGTTATTTACAAAAAGCAGAAGTTCATAGGTAGGCCTTGAAATTACCGGATAGTCATTTGTTTCGCATACCAGATTTATTCCAAAATCACTTTAATCTTTTCTGACCTTACTTGAGATGGGGTTTTGAAATAAATTGCATGTTGTCATTGCCACTAATTCTCGTGTACAAGATGGCATAATCAAATTTTCAATTCTATGTTTCTTCCTTCAACTTCCATCATCAACTTTGTTTTTTAATATGGACACTATAACGGAATTTTGTACTTTTAAATTTAAATAGAATTTTCATTCCTAAATTCAGTATTTCCTTAGTTGACCATGAATTTGTAGTTGGATGAAAATGATAAAGACATAAAAAGGTAAGTTGAAATCTAAAGACAACATGAAAATTTTATTGATGGTAATAACAATAATAATTCAATAAGCAGAAGTAAATCATATCAGATGTTCAAAATGTCCGTTATTTTGTGGGAAAAGTCCAACTCTTCTCTGTACATTGTTTCACTCTTCAATTTATTTCTTTTCGTCCTAGTCTTCCAAACTCTGTTGCTATGATCAGTTTGAGGTCGAGTCTAGTATACAAAACAATTGACTATCTGAAAATGTTAAGGCCTCCTTAGAAACTTCTGTTTTCTGGAATGACTAAGGATTGACAATCTGATTTATGACATATTATATATTATAAATCCAATATGGCGTTCATAATAAACAATAACGTTGATGCTCAATGACAAGAGGTGAAAAGTCATATTGGAATTCTAATTATGCCATCTTGTAGAGGAGAAAAAGTGGCATCGTCAATGTGCAATTTACTTTGAAATTCCACTACACTTGAAGACAGAAAAAAATTGATAGTTTTGAGAAAATTTAGTCTTTACCGTCTCTCCCCAGAAGTACTTTAAATTTCCAAAACTTCCTAAGTGGCATTTTGATGATTACCTAAATACGCAACTTTGCCCCCATTTAAGTGACTTCATATCTCTTACAGTTTCTGAGATCTCAATGGTGAGGGTCAAATTTGAAACGCCTTGTATAATAATGACTTAAAAATCACACTCTTGTAAAGCCTAATCCTATGATTGATTCTTATTTAATTTCGATACTGTTCCAGTATCGTTCCTTTTCATTAACACTGCAGCTAGTGACCAACAAGTTTGGCCATTTTCTTACATTGAACTCAAACAAGAATACATTTTTGTCAGCTAGGACCAGGCCAAACATGTCGTTATTGAGCCTTATTGTTATTATTTTCTATATGCATCCAAGAGACTAACTACTTATACAAATATTTTACTATGATCTCATGAAAAATCTGGCAAATAATATCACCATAAGGCAAATGTTAGACAACCAGTATCTACTATAATCTGTCAGCATGGATTGTAATATTTATCGAAGGCATATCATTTACTTCAGTATTTATTGACAAATAAGGCTATGTAGAAATTCACTGATACCCTAGCATTTGGCTAAGACTGACTATCATTATTCAACTTATAAACAATATTTGATTAACTAACCAATGAGTTTTTAGTTTTTAGGCAATGAATGCAAGGAAATAGCAACCGCAGCAGGTGACTGCCGGGTATTAGTGCAATCTGTGGTAGGAGCTACATCCCGTGCTCCACCATTACTTGAGTGTAGCTGTCATGTGAACCGTGTCAAAAGGTTGGCCACCTCTCCAATAGAACCTAGTCTATTTTGGTCAGCTGCTGAAGATGGATTTGTCATGTATGTATATAAAGGTGCCAATAACCCATTGCCATTTTTTCTTCAACCTTCCAGTGTCTATTAGTATGTTTAAAAAGATATTTTCAGTGGAGTGTTGAGGTACCGCGACCAATTCTGAGACCGATTTGAGAGACTAGTTATGAAACATTCAATTTGAGTATTTCACAACAACGCCAGGGGCGGATCTAAGATGACGCAGTTGACGCACTGTGCTCGGGCCCCGGGACTGAAGGCGTCTCCAGAACGCGGTTTTATGGGGCCCAAAGATGTATGAAATTTATGCTAGATCCACCTCTAGCTTCGGAGCACAAGCTTTGACGGGTATTTAAAGTCTGACGGGTATTTCCAGTCTTCACTCCTAGTGCGTGAAATCGTCTGATTTCAAAATTATACGACTCAGAATCAAAATTTGCCATTTTATCGCCCCACTCTGAATTAACTCTCATCGAAAGTAGTAGTAGTACCAATACTGTTTATTACAAAAAATATATATATATATATACATTCACAAAACTAAAGTATGTTCTTAGAGACTGAAATGTTGTCGGAAAGATCTGATGTAATATTAACATTCTAAATGTAGAAACAAATACGAGGTCTGTAAATTAAGTGATGAGACTGGCAACGTAGCGTTCGATCTGGCAACACTAAAGGCGCCAGAGGAGAGATGGGAGAACATGTGATCCGCCTTCAGTACAAGTTTGAACTCGCTCGAGTATTTTGGTTATCTGTAGTGATTTTCCTTTTTTGTGAAACAGTTTTTCCTATCGCGCTCTAAAAATGTGCACGAGAGAGAAGTGTGTATATATGTTAGAAAGAGATATAAACCGACTGGATAGCGAAGCTCATCACCGCATTGCCTAGGAACGCTGACGCGGCAATCTGTCGCGTTGCTAATGTTACACCAATTCCTTAAATTAAGATGCATGTTGAAAATATGCGTTAGCTAATTCTCTACGCCTAAATGTTTTATTCTGAGCGTACACATTTTTGAATTGTGAATTGAGTCGAATCTGTTTAGAATCAATTTCAGCAGGGGTATTATGTAAAAAACGTAAAGAAGTAAAAAAAAACAATGAAATGTCATCTTGCAGACTAGGTAGTTTTTGGTGTGCAACTAGTTCATTCCTCGTTTGCTCACTATGATCGCTATTCGCTGACGTTTAAGCAACATGTACAGCTACAAAACGAGTTCAGAACATGTGTATAACTGCTTGTGCTAAGTTGACATCGTGTAGAAAAAGCTACGTTATGTCCCCAAAAACGTACGAAATGTAAAAAAAACGACATAATGTCACCTTTCAAGGTACGTAATACAAGTACGGCTCGCAAGGTTTCGACGGCATGATCATAGATGATCGATTTTGGTCAGTACCCAGTACGCTTATTGGGAAGTGTTGTGCTGCTTCGAAATGGTTTTACCTGCGTAACGCATGGTGACGCAAAACGTAACAATAATCGAGGATGTGTTGATTTTATCACCAGCGATGGAAATCAAGGATAATTGTAAAATAAAACACGTAAGTCGCATCGAAATTGAAATAAATGATTCTAATAAAAATGAAAACAAAAAATTAGATTAAATATTCGAACAGACCTCAATCTTAGGTTTGACAGTAACCTAACCTGTTATAGAAGCCAGTGCGAACTTATTCTGGTGTAACATATTGGCAACGCGGCAGATTGCACGACCTGCGTCACCGTTGCTAGGCAATGTGGTGATGACCTTCGCTCTTCAGCTAGATTTATATCTTTCTAACATGTGTTGATACACACTTCTCGGGCTTCTCTCTCGTGCACAATGAACTCAATCCGTCAGACAAATTTGGTTTTCCATGTATAATGTTAGTACCTGGTACTCGGCTTTTTTAAAAACGTCCCTATCATATACAGCGCATTTTCTCAGCTTTGGCAGAAACCACGTTTCTCCAGGGTTCTTTGATTATTGTTATATATTCCACAGTCAATACGATTTGCGGGAGAAGCACGAGTGTTCGAACAGCGCCCTTCGGGTTTTAATCGATCTGAGCGACAACTTTGGTGAAGCAAAATGCATTGCGGTGAACCCCACCAAGCCATACTATCTGGCTGTAGGTGCAAACGACTGTTATGTGCGGATGTACGATCGCAGAAAGCTCAAGAACCACGTCATTGGACAAGTAAGTATAGTATAAGAAAAAAATATGTGGTCGCTAATTCAAACCACATACATATGTATCGATTACTGTTTATTATTGTTTCAGCCACCACCTATCAATGTTTCAGGTGTTACACAAAATAGTAGATAGATTTCCAATATTCACTTTGAAGTTTGCAATTAAGGGCAATAGTCTTCAGTCTAGGACACAATTGAGGTATCCTCGACCTGGACAATATTGCATTTTTTAATACCTGGAATAAATTTTCGACATCCATTTTCAGGAATGATGTAATCTATTCTCTGTTTTCACTGGTGATTTGGAAAACATACTTGAAATCATTGAAAAGGGTTTCATTAAATACTCGCTGATGAAATCATCCAGTAATATTTGATGTTTATTCAGATAGAGCACAGTCATAATTTTATGTAAGACTTCAACATCAGTCTACTGAGGTAATTTTCCTCACGTCTGATGGAAGTCTAACTTCACGCTAGAGCTTATACGTCACAGCTTTATCACGAAATTGTTGGTTTGAACTTAGGAGGGCAGCTTTTCCACTTTCACAGAAACATTAATATCTTGGAGACAAAATATTGATTATTCGTTGAAATTTTTGAAAACATCCCATTAGTATAACTCTTTAATCACAACCTCTTTTTCGAATACTTTTTATGATAAGAGATATACTTTTTTATGATATAGCTATATGAAAAACTCGAGAAACTGTCCTACGAGTCATGTATTTAATAATTTCTGTAGTGTGTATAGTTTTGACATATGAATGATTGACATGTTAGACGAATGCTAAAAGAGCTCTTTCAATACCGAGAACAGGGCGTACTTTTTTATGGTATGATATAATTATCATGTCAAATTTATCAAAAAACCACAGCAATCTATTGCCAAAATTGACCTTTGGGAAAGCCGTTGCTCTGCTTTCGTTCGTTGTCCTACCTAAGACCAAGTCTAGGCCGTGCTGATGGTTGCCAATAAGCAGAAAACAGCCTAAAAATGGAATGACCTGACATCAAGCCATTTGGAGCGTCTGTGAATGTCTGCTATGTTTATCTTACAATGAGTTAGAAAAAATTATTGTTAAAAAACTGTTTATGGATGCCAGTTTTGCAACATGACAGCACGAGCAGAAAAAATTAATGGTTGCAAAGTGAATTTTTTTTTTTTACATTTTATGTTTTTTTGTGACATAACGTACGTTTTTCTACAAGATGTCAACTTAGCACTAGCTATTGTTCGCTTGTTGTCATGATGCTTCATCTAGCAATGTTTGACTCTGATGTGATATAACATCTGGAGGTCTAAGCTGTAAGTTGTACACTATAGATGGAAGGAAATGTGCAGTGCATAGGTGCATAGTGAGGATTTGTGTGCTAATAATCTGTGTTGATGATAATTTCATTGGTTTCTTGACTCAAATGCACTTGCTTGAGATGTATTCAAAGCTAGAAGTTGCGCATCCACCTTTTTTATTCATTTTGGAAATTACGTATGCAAATTTGCTGAGTTTAAAAAATGAGAGAAATAAGAAAAGAAAATTCCTGGTTAGTGAATTAAGTAACTATATGTGGAATCTTATATTTTATACTCGCATACTGCCACGTATTGCAATTATATTCAGTGTACACTGCCGAATTACAAGTCATGTACAGTAATTACACAAAACGCGTGCGCGGTGGTGATTTTCCGTAATTCTCCTCAAAGTTTTTGAAAACACAAAAAAACGGGAAATATCCTAATTTATAACTTTGAACATAACCGGTCTTCAGAAAGGACAACATATAAATAACCCGTCGGACACCGCTCATAGATATTCATTGGCAGCATATTCAGTAATAATTTTCTCATATAGCAAATGTCTCTGATTTTATACACATGCAGACCAATACACATAATCATCCAGATACGATCTTGCTACTCGTCCAACTTTCATTGTTTCACATCTTCTCAGATAAACATTATTTGACTTGCTGCAACCAACAATGCATGCTTGAGCGTGTCGTGTCGTTGAGTCATTCCTCCATAGATGGACGCTTTTGATGACGCACACATTAAAAACTACCTATTCTGCAAGATGACTTGTCGTTTTTTTACCTTTTTTAGGGTTTTTTTCTACTTAATACCCCTGCCGGCCATCCTTTTTGAACACCGAATGATTATGCCCATCTCTTTTCTAGACAAGTACTTCTGCGCATAGCAACAAATGTTCGTCAAACCCCCCAATCGACTACGGCTGTGTGCAATACTATGCTCCTGGGCATCTAGCTGTCGAAAATGCGTCAGCGACTACATTTAAGTTGGCAGCTACCTACGTGTCGTTCAATGCCGCTGGTAGTGAGATGCTCGTCAATATTGGCGGCGAACAGATATACTTGTTTGATGTCAACAATAGCAGGTTTGTATCACCTCATAATAATTGAATTTTAAACTGGTGAGGTCTGGTTTCACAATACCTTTCAGTTATTTCTGAACGTCACTTAACTGCATACTGCATAACGTATATCCTAAAAGTTTTGGCACAAAGAAGTTGGTTGGTCGGGGTACCCAAAGCTGAAAGCTGTCGAATATTCCAGAATGAAACCATTTCACGCAGAACCAGTTATTGAACAATAGCAGAGTGCGAGCAGGGAATACCATGTCTGAATCTCCCAAACAGTGGAAGACTACGTGCATTTACTGCACAGAGGTCAAAGAGATTGGTGAGAAGAGCAAACAATCAGGTTGGAATGTCAACAAAGAGACTGGCTCGTCAATTCAGATCTTCTAAGAAGACGATATCGTTGGAATTGATGAAAATATCGAAACAGACTTAAGTGCACCACTTACTCTCAAGCGCAACTCCTTCGTATTCCAAGATGCTGTCGTCAACTGAGGCGGGTACGGACAACGTAGAGGAATGCACTGACAATGTTAGATACAAACATAAAGCGAAACTTGCAGATAAAATCCTTGTCTGGTGCGCAATTTCTAACAGGGGTGTATCCCAACCTTTTGTGGGAAGAGTGAGGGGTGAGGCTTTGAATAGTTAGAGCTATGTCGATAACTGCCTTTCCATATTGCTTCAGTTTGCCCACGAACATCATGCTAATGTCCATATCATGTTTTGGCCAGACCTTGCATCAAGACATTTACTCAATAGGTACCCAAAACTGGCTTCGACAACACAACATATCGTTTGTTCCCAAAAGCGATAATCCTCCAAACTTGCCGCAGGCTCACCCAATAGAGGATTTTTGAGCTTTACTGTCTAGGAAGGTTTATCATGGAGGCTGGGAAGCCCAAGGTCAAGAACAATTAAGACGACGAAAACTGAGAGAAATTGATCTGAATTCCGCCCAAGATCTCATGCGACATTCGAAGAAAGTTGCGTCTGGTAGAGCAGGATTGGCCACTCCACATAGTTCGATAGTATAGTTTGGTTGAGTATTGAGTTGTAATTTATAATAACTAGTTAGTGTTTAAATAAATTTCTTCATTAAAAAAATCCGATAAATATTTTGTGACAAAACTTTTAGGACATACGTTATATGTATGTACGAGGTCTGTAAATTATGATGAGACTAACAACGTAGCGTTCGATCTGGCAATACTGGAGGCGTCGGGCTTGCAGAGGAGACAGGGGAACACGTGATCCGCTTTCAGTATAAGTTTTTCCGATTGTGTTCTAAAAATGAATGACATCAATTTCAAGCAGCGGTGTGCTATCAGGTTTTCTTGGACACAGTGCAATGAAAACTCTTGCTAAACTTCAGCAAGCCTACGGTGCTTTGTCCAGAGTTCAGGTTTTTTGGTGGTGCAAGTCATTTTCAGAAGGGAGAGAGTCGACTGAATATTAATCATGAAGTGGAAGGCTTTCATCTTCCAGAACCGATGAAAATATCGACAGAATACGGGATCTTGTGTGTCCAGATCATCAGTTAACAGTCAGAATGATCGGGGAAGAGATCAATTTGACTCACACCACCGTTCATCAGAACAACTGTGTGCTGCTTCACGATAAGGCTCTTTGTCACACAGCAATATCAGTAAACAAGTTTTTGCACAGAAACAAGTTGAAAAATCACCTCAAGGGGAACTGGGACTGTCGAAAACATTCAAACGACTCTTTTGAATAAAAAAATTAAAAAATTTGCTCATCACCTAATTTACAGACCTCGTATATCACTAAAGACGAAAGTGATTATTGTTACGTCATGTGAAGCGTACTGTCACGTGATATTTTGTAAGGAGAGACACTTTCATACGCGCACGGTGCATTTACCTATTATTTTTTAAGGTTCTTCCAAACATTTTATTGAACATTTTGATCCATCTACTCAGATAGTAAGTGTTTATATTTTATATTTTATAACATGCCAATTTTGAAGCTATCTATAGTCCTAAAATAATAACACAACAAAATACGAAATTATGAAAAATCTAATCCCCGATTGAGATATTAATAGATAAACTCGATGATGTGAAATAGACAGAATACATCCTAAATGTACTTACCAGTCCGTAATCCTAATATCAATCACCATACAGTTTTTTTGAATGTTTTTTTTCTTCGTATATTAGTATAGTATCATATGACATGACTGTCAATAAATAACTAAAACTTAGATTATGCTTATTTCCTACGTTTATTCATATTTTATTAATTTTAGTTATTGTACAATATTATCTTTCATATATGTTATTTATACCTTAGGAGTTAGCATGGAATGCATGATCCTTTCTATGGGTACTTTATTTATTCGAGTATTTTACGTTACATGCTCATGCAATTGTAAAAAAGGTTACCGAATAAGTAATTATTATTATATTATTTATTCGCTGATTTTCCAGGTTTGCTAAGTAAACTCTGATTAGCAACTGTCTTTATTTGATTGATGAGTACCTTGATTATATCACGTCATTCGGATAGTTTATCAAATAGTGTATAATTTGGGTTGTAGGACCTTTTAAGGTGCATCCACAGAGAGAGATATATTCATTAAAGAAACAGCCGTATGTCAAACATTGTCCAGTGACATTTTAGCGCGACATAAATCACTTCTACTCAATGTACTGCACGTTTATATGTACCTTATTGTAATCAGTTCACTTCAAAAAGTCCCTTGCTTATCCTTTAGTCGGGTCGTAACGTTATTTCATTTTATATCAACCTTCTTCTTTTGGTAGGGTCTACCCGAATGCAAGACATAATATGAGGTATCCAATTTAAGAAAAACTGACATCTCAACATTTTTTTTTAAATATTTCATCGTTGCCGCTTACACGATTCAATAAACTTAGCAATTTTTTTATGTTGAAGAGGTTGGAGCGTGTAAATATACATTTGATTGTACTTCCTAGGTACCAGCCTTCATAATTTGATGCGCTTACGCTTTGTGATTGGGGTTACGATCATTACCATTTGGCTTGACGCCAGGTTCGGGTGCGATATTTTATATATCATATCTTGTTCCTAATAGGATTTACTGCTGATTATTTAATAATACTTCAAAATTCCCCATATCGACAAATGACATATTTCTGACGGATCCGTCAAGGCCGTATATTATTTTGGTTTTTTGTACGCTACATGTCCATTCTGTACTTGCTAACAACTCTTATTCAGAAAAGTTGATTTGCATACAAAAAGGTCACAAGCAAGATTTACTAGTTTTGCACCCGATTCATTATTGCCAACGTTACAGACTAATACAAAGGTGTCACTTGTTGATCAGCTGTTCACCTTAATAGACGTCAAAACGTGAGTATACTCGTGAAATATGGTTTACAAGTATCCATCACGTTTTTGTAAAGTCTGTTTTTTTTTGCTGAAAGTTGTTCGAGGGGGTATTTAAAACATGGTCGCATAAAATGGGTACACCAATTTTTGTCGGAAAACGTTTTATTCGACAACAAAGAATGAGAAAACGGGTTTTTTGGGATTTAGTCGGAAAAAACTGTTCATATAAGATTTTTAGTTATTTATGAGATCTACAAAATGAGACCACACTTAAAAAGATCCGAATGATATCATAAAAGCTATGGTCGAAAACTGAGGCATGCTTTGGCACTTGTTAGTAATGCGACGATGGTTTCTCGGAGATATTTGAAATTCTTCAAATTCGTAGGATTCGTACTTCTAAGCAACCACAACAAAATTGGAGTAGGTTGGTCAAGTAGTTTTTGAGAATTTCTAATTGTTTGTCCCAAAACACCTGATTCATATCGGCAAGGTAAACACGTGTATTTTACTATTAAATGCTCTTTGAACTAACCCTATATGTTGCTCAATAAACAAGTAGTGGTGGCCGGAAAACATGTGTTTTTGGGATAAACAATTGGAAATTCCCAAAAACTACTTGACCAATATTATCCAATTTTGTTGTTATTCAGAAGCATGAATCCTACGGATTTGAAGAATTTCAAGTAGTTGCGTGAAATTATCGTCGCATTACCAAGTGCCAAACCTGCATTTTTCCTCGTTTTTCGCCCATAACATTTTTGCTATTAGTCGGATCTTTTGTACGTGTGGTCTCGTTTCGTAGGTCTCATAAACACCTAAAAATCTTATATCAAAAGTTTTTTCGTTCCTGTCAACACTTTCGATTGAATCCCATTCGTTGTTGTCAAATAAAAAGCTTTTCCACAAAAATTGGTGTACCAATTTTATGCGCCCATGTTTAAAATACTTCCTTGAACAACTTGTATCAATAAAACCAGACTTTTCAATTATTTTTTGGAAATTTGCTGATATGATATAACGCCAAAACGTCATGGGTGCGTGATGTGACACCAGTATGTTTCTATGCTGAAACTTCCATTCGTAATTATGACTTCATATTTCCAGAAATGTGAGTTTCCGTGATAGCATGCTAACTAACGTGACGTAAGCATAAAGTGTTTCAGTCTTTTCATTCCTGCTACCTTGCTATACAAGACATCTATTAAAAAGCACAGTTTTTGATAGAATGTGTTACAAAAATTATGAGTTTAACAATTTCCTTACAATTTTTTATTTAGACACATAAAGGAGATAATCGTTCCCCAAACGCCTGAAGCCAAGCTTTGGAAAAACGGTATAAGGAAGACTTGCTGTTGTAGACATGTAAGTGTTTGCATGATTATTTTGTTACGTTAAAATTCTGTCACTAATTCAGTAGAAAATGCTTCTGAAGTACCACTTCGGACAATGAAAATCCGAAGTAATACTTGTTATGTATTACATTATTAAAATTTTATCTTTATAGGAAACAAATGGCTTCGTAAATATTGATAAATTCACTACTATAGCTGAAGAAAAATGTCCTGTATGTTATTATATGAAGAGAGGTCACATGTTCTATGGAAGAAAGTGGTAAGAGACAAAGTAAAGTTGTGGATATAGCCAGGATAATTCGAACTCAAAAAAGTAGTATAATACAACATTTTTATAATTATAAAAGTTTGTGTTTCATCCCTAGACAATAACTAGTCATAATACTAGTAACCATACTGTCCAAATTATTGATATTTTTCTACTTATCCTACTATTAAAATACGACCATTAAATAAGTTATAAATATTTTATTATAGAGATAACGATAAATTCTATGAACTAATTTGTTTGAGGATATTTGAATTAATTTCATTGAATGGGTCAACATTTAAATCTGCCTGAGAAGTATATAAGAAAATTTAAGCAGTTTTCAATTATACAAATAATTTTGAAACTTATGAATTTAGAACTAGATTTTTATATATCAATTCTTCGCTTTTTTGTTTTTTTCAAAACAACACCTGCTGACGTTCACTGAAAGCGCTCAATATGACTTGATTTACAGGATGGGTGATCTGTACAATGCAGCCAGGGACTATGTATATGTAATTAAAAGGTGGCCAGAGCATAAACCAGCATATATTGAACTCATTAAGTGTCTCATTGCTCTCAAATGGACGAAAGAAGCGCAAAATTGGTTAGAATACTTCTGCTCTGTCCACCCTGATTATTCTGATAATACCCAGGTAAATATTGTGAAGTTTTTACAGATAGTAGTTAAATATAATCTCAGTGACTTTCAGTTGAGTTTAGATTACTGAATCTTGCCTTAGTAGCTTCCAAGATGAAAATAGTTCGTGATATGCCCCTTTGAACGTCTATTACATGTTATACAATACAAATTCTGTAACTTATTACGCAATTTTTCATTCGTTATAGTTATACCCTGTTTAAACCCCATTTACTCTACGTCAGTGCATGCTCAGGCGACGTTGGTGCAAAGTTACCTTATATTCTATTAACATGAAAATCCAAGGAGTAAATATTGGAAGAATGATGAATCGGTACAAAATCTTCGCCTGCAGACGTTAACATGACGAAACCCCGTGTCTAGTATTAAAAAACATTGGTAAAACTCTCTTGTAGCCGTATATTATTAGTGTACAGAATTGCATTCGGCAACTCGTTGGAACAATTTTCAGGTGTCGGAATTAAGGCAGAAGATCGAAAGTGCTCTGAGTGAAGAAAAAGCGTCGTCAGCCAAAAGCAGCGGAAGAACGAATGGGGACGATAAGGACGGTAGCGCTACAGACGGCACTGATCCAGCCTCAGAAGAAAAGGAACGGTTTCTGAGGCGGGTTGACGAGGCCGAACAGAAGAAACGCATGGAGTCGCTCGACTTTGAGGTGCGTTTCGTTGGCCACTGCAACACAACCACTGATATTAAAGAGGCAAATTTTCTAGGTTAGTACTTTTTATATTCACTTGGATATCAACATTTTCAGTTTGGTATTTGCTGAACTTATATTTTGTCATATCGACGTTCGTGTAGTTGAAAAACTGTTTTGTCAACCAGCAGCCAATGATTTTTCAAGTATCTCCAAACCAACACAATCCACATTAACGTTAGTACTTCTGTATATTTTTGTAAAGTGATTAAGATCAACTGGTTTGTAACACGCCAACAGTGTCGCTAATCTACAAAAAAAATATATACCAGTGGTACAATTCCGCCAAAGTCGTATACCGTGCAAATGTTTACCAATATTTTACCTAGAGCTTCCTGATTGTACGGGCTATTCTACGTAATGTTCATCCTCTGAGTGAATAACCCGTAACTAGATGTAGAAACGACTTGTGATTTGCATTTGTACATGGAATATTGTCATTAAATCTAGTAACAAATTATTCGATTTTCATATAGGAGAGGACGGTCAGTATGTGTGTGCAGGTTCGGATGAAGGATACATTTTCATCTGGGAAAGGCGGCGCGCTGGTATCGTGACGGTTCTCTCTGGTGACGTATCTATCGTGAACTGCGTACAACCACATCCGACCGCCTGCTTTCTTGCATCCAGCGGTATTGACGCGGCTGTCAAACTGTGGTCACCCATTTCAGAGGTAAGTACCCTATTATAGATTGATTGCACAACAGATTTGGGTTGTACAGGGTGGCCAATATATAACTGATTGATTTAAATTACGCGCCATACACGATCCTGCAACGCGTCCGTATTGTTAAAACGTTTTACTTAAATAATGTTGCAACGATTCGGAAGTTACGACAAGATTTCGGTCGAAATAATGTGCCCAGTGTCAACACCATTCGTCAGTTGATGCGGAAATTTGAACAAACAGGTGAAGTTAAAGACTTAAAAGGTCGAGCCGTGTTCGAACTGTTCGTACTCTGGAAAATATCAAGAGAGTTCGTGAAAGTGTAGTGGAGCGCACTGACACGTCTACCAGACATCGTACTCAAGAACTGGGTATTCGTCGCACGTCATTATGCACTATTTTAAAAAAGACTTGCGGCCCTACAAAATTCAGTTAACCCAAGAATTACAGCCTAGTGACCATGAAAGTCGCCGACAATACAGTCATGCAATATTGCAGCTTAATACCCAAAATAACGATTTTTACCGTCAAATGATAATGAGCATTCTGGAGCGCTACCGTGATATGGTGCAAAACTCCAATAATTTATCCTGCAAAATGTGTGGTTCCAACAGGACGGAGCAACTTGTCACAGCTAGGGAAACTCTTTTGCGAACAATATTTCCGGGACGTTTAATTTCTCGATTTGGTGATATCAACTGGCCACCAATGTCACCGGATTTAACGGCTCTTGACTTTTTGTTATGGGTATTTTTGAAAAATAGGGTTTATGCCAACAAACCAAATACTGTAGAGCAGTTGAAGAACAATATTTCGGAAGCGATTGAAAATACTCCTCCCGTAACCTACAAAAGGTGATGGAAAATGAAAAATCAAGAGGGCTCAGGTTTGCTCGGCTTCTAGAGGCGGAAATTTGTCTCATATTATTTTTCATACATAATTTCTGAGTTTCAATAAAAGATTAAGATGAAAAAAATTGACGTATTTTATTTCATTTCACAAATATTCAAGATACAAACCAGTCAGTTACATATCGGCCTACCTGTACTATTGATTAACCACTTCAACTTCAAGATGGTCCAACGTGTCACCTGTTCGAAAATAAAGGTCTCCATCCATGTATGAAAGAATTCAATGATTGTTACAGTCGTTTATTACAGTGATTTATGGGCGAATTTTGGTAGTAAGGTCGCGTAGCCAACGGGATTTCCTGTACGGGAAAACGAGGGGGCTGTTTTATTGCCGCTATATCAAAATATACGCAGATTATGGGAATTTTCTTTCCTTCGCCTGGAAGTTTTAAGGACGCGAAATTCTGGGAACAGTCAAGGGGGAAGTTGGGTTGAGAGTTGATATTTCTTTGGCAGATTAGTGTCATGTTTAATAATAAAAAAATCTTTTTTTAAAGGAAAATGCACTATATGCTTATTACTTCTGAGAAAATGAATCCGATTCCATTTGGTAACCTCGCCGTTAGAGGGGAAATGTAGGTAGACGCCGGTTTGTTGAATGAGGTTAGATATCTTCAGGTTGAATACGTTAATCAATAGTTGTACACCCTATTTCAAGAGTATCCATCGTGGAACAATGACAGCTAGTTATATAGTAATATTTCAAAGTTCCTCATATCTGCACAAGATACATAACTAATTAAGAGGGATCGGTGAACTGCAGGTAGACAGACCCGTATTTTGTTGTGGTTCTTTGTACGCTACAGATTCATGTTGTACTTGCTAACAACTCTTTTATTTAAAAAAGTTTCTTTGCAAACGAAAGCACAATGAATAGCTAATAATGACCATGACTATATTTGAAGTCAGGTAGGAATAAAATAAGATAAACAGTTTTTGACTGTATTAATTATATCTACATTTGAATGAAACATCGATATATTTACTTCTGAATGTGTGGCAGTATATGACCGAGTTGATAGAGGTTCGATTCCCTCAATTAGGTCTGAACATTACTCAGGTAATTCTAACAAGCAATAAAATAGAAAAATGTAAGTAACTATTGCAGGAAGTCACAACTGGGACAATGCAGTGTTCGTCAATACGGTCATGGGCCAACTGTTGAGAACTCTGCGAAAATCCAAAGGAAACGCAAACGTAGTTTATAATTTTTTTAAAGAGAGTAAGATATTCATAAGGATATAGCAAGTCAGCAAATGCTATGCCATCATTACATATTGAGGAATTTGAAAATTCCAGGAAGTATGATTTATTTTTATTTTGATATTTGAGTGGTATAATTTTGGGTGTACTTGTACATTTTATTGTCACATTTCCCATCCACTTAAAAGTATAATCCTGATATTGTCCAGACCGTCGGACTGTATACATCGCACCGATTAGCAGGTCGATGGTAGTGCCTCTTTATTAGGAAAAAGATCGGAAATTTCATTGTGGCTATATCTGACGTAGTGCTATGGTTAGTGCATGCGGTGCAGTATCTTGATTGGTAAAATTTGCCTCAATTACTGATTTACGTCGTAGTGTTCTTACTTATAGTGGTCATAAGTACCATTTTTCTGTATTGTTATCAGTTGCCTGCTAGAAAAACCTGTGGAATTTGTGGTATTTTGTTGCAATTTTTGCATATAGTTCAGGCAATTAGGTCCATGCTAGAGTCATAGCACCTGATGTGGATGTATGCATAGTATGTAGTGATAACTTTATAGTGTGCACGAAAATAGTAAAGTGTGGCCTTTGCAAGCTTAAATTCCATACGTCATGCGTATCTGTGAGAGACAGCTGGTTAAAAATCCTTTCAGAATGCGAAAATATATTTTGGCTTTGCGACGATTGTAAATGCTCCTTGCAGTCAGTCAGTCAGTAATGAGACAAAAACTGACAATATTATTGAGAAAAGAGTTGGAAAGCGTCAATCGAGAATTGGATTCAACTAAAAAACTTTTAACTAATACACTGTACAGTTGCAAAAATCCCTGCTGGTCAGTGTACATCAACCTGGTCTTATTTTTAGTGATATAGTAAAACAGAAGAATAGGGACAACTCATCTGTTCTTTTGGTTCAATCTGTCAATTTGGCCAGCATGAATATATGTGTAAATAATACACGTAAAATCTGTAACGGTGTGGCGGTTCATTGTAAAGACGATGCATCTTTGAACTCATTGAAAACTAGTCTTGATGCAAAGTTGGCATCTAAATATACAATATCTGAGGCCAAGAAATTAAATCCAAGGTTAATAATAAAAAATGTTAATTTGGATGGTATTGATTCGCCAGATGATATTATAACGAATATAGCTACCCTGAATAATTTAACTGTTACGCAAAAATCTCAGATTGAATTTGTCACTAAACTTAGACTTAAGAGCGGAACTAGTGTTGTCATTGAAGTGACACCTGATTTAAGAAAATCCCTGTTACAAATAGGTTCGTTGTTCATTGGTTGGAAAAAGTGTTTCATTTCTGACCATTTGCGCTTGATGAAATGTTACAAATGTTGTTCATTCGGCCATACTGAAACTGCTTGCAAATCAGAGCTTGCATGTCCTAGATGCTGCAGAAAACGCATACTGAAAGAGTGCAAGTCGGAGGCGCTACAATGCATTAACTGTGTTAATCATAACAAGTCACATAAAAAGAACTTGCCCACAGATCATTCTGCTAACTTTCCTGGATGTCATGTGTACCAAGGTTATGTTGACAATTTGAAGCAGCGCGCGGACTATGGGAAGTAATAAAAATGATGTTTTAAAAATTTGCCATATAAATGTTCGATCACTTACAGCTTCTTTTAATGAGTTTTCTTTGCTGGTAAAAGATCAATTTGATATTATAGCTATGTCTGAAACTTGGCTTTCAGGCAATATACCAGATAATCTTATCAGTATGCACGATTATAATTTCTTTCGCAAAGATAGAATTGGCAGAGGTGGTGGGGTTGGCATATACGCAAAGGCTAATCTGAGATTCAGTACTGTTAATATCGATTTTTTGGGTAACAGTACGCTGAAATTATTGTGTTGTAAATCTATAATCGATTCCGTAAGCCTGCTTGTTGCGGTACTTTATAGACCTCCTCACTGTTCTATCAATGATTGTATAAACCACATAGACAATCTTGTTTCTTTCTTTATGCCTCAATATGATGACATTATTCTTCTTGGAGACATGAATATTGATATGTTCGATACCACTAATGTACTCAGCAGTTGTCTTGATTTTTATGGTTTCAGGCAGGTCATCGATGAGCCTACTCGTATTTCTCGTTTTAGTTCTACTTTAATTGATGTCATATTTTTAAATAATATTGAAAGTGTTCTCAACTCTGGTACCTTAAATGCAGATCTGATATCTGACCACAAACTAGTATTCTGTGAATTAAATATTAAAACCGTTTCATCGGAGGAAAAATTCATAACCTATAGGGATTTTAAGAACATTGATGTAATCAAATTCAAGCAGGATTTGGCTGCAGCTGGCTTAGAAGAAATGCTGTATATTACCGATATTAACTCCAAAATTCTAATCCTTTATGGGGTGCTTATTGAGCTTTTTAACTTTCATGCTCCTATTCGGACGGCTCGTGTCACCAAAAAAGCTACTCCATGATTAACTTTCGCACTTAAGGTCATTCTTAAGGTGAGAGATGAGGCTTTAATTAAATTTCGTCACAATCCATCAGATGAAAATTGGACAGCGTATAAACAGTTTATTATTCACTTGCTTCAATCCGGCGTGAGAAAAATGCATATTTATCTCGCTTTGATAATCTCAATTCTAGAAAAGCTTGGGATCAGCTGAGAGCAATGAATATTTGTCCCCAGAAACACATTGAAATACCCTAAGATCTGTTAGACCCTAATGAAGTCAGTAACCACTTCATGTTAAAATACCAAAATCTTAATATCAATTCCCGTTTGATTGACAGTACAGTAGAGTTTTATGAGAACAGCTTTAACAGCCAAGATGTAACTCCATTTACATTTAGAATGATGACCGCTGAAGACATTTTGGACATAGTTACCTCTATCAAGTCACCTGCTACAGGGAGTGATGAAATTAATTTGAACGTGCTAGGATACTGCTTACCAGAAATTTTATTGTATTTAACACATATTGTTAATATATGCCTTGAGACCGGGACTTTTCCTGAGGCTTGGAAGGAAGCTATTATCATCCCTTTAGCCAAAGTCAAAAATCGAACCACTCATAATCATTTGCGGCCTGTTAGTTTGCTGTGCTTTTGTTCGAAGGTATTAGAGAAAGCAGTGTACATTCAACTAGTGGAATATTTAGAGCAAAATAACTTGTTTTCTCCTCATCAATCAGGATTTCGTGCGGGACATAGCACTACTTCAGCTTTGCTCCATCTAACTGACAACATCGTAGGTAACTTAGACAGACATATTAATACCATATTAGTGATTCTATCGGCCATGGTTCCTAGGTATTTGTTGTGGTATTAACTCGGCCGGGGGACTCTGTTCCGCAAACGAATGTTTCCCTCTAGGTACGTGTTACGGTGTTAACTCGCTAGGCGCTGCAGCTGTAACGTGATGTCTCATATAGCGTGTTTATGCTATGCCATACACGAATCAAGCCGTATGATTAAATAATGTGTCTAAAAAATCACTACTTAATAGAAGGGAGTAACGAAAGATAAAAATAAAAAGCGTTATCGCAAGATCATCTGTCGGAAGCTGCCATAGCCATTTGTCTTAAATTTTAATCAAAATGTACTGCTATTGGAAGAGTATCTATCTAATTCATACCAATTATGCCTATCATAATTTTATCTAATCGCAAACTCTTAAAACTTGCTTATTTCAGCCACGTTTTACCATTTCTGATCATAGAAAGAAGTGATAATATCCATAACACCTGATGAACAATGTATTGATATTATTTTTTTTTCTTTCAGGAAGATGTAGCTTCTAATCCTCGATTGGTAAAAGACATAGATGCAGCGATAGAATCGAACCAACAGCGGATGTCTATGGACCCGTTCGAGTCTATGCTGGTGAACATGGGCTATCGTATACCGGGAATCAGCGTGGACCCAGCCTTCCAGGTATTCAAATAAATCAGCTCTAATGTACATACTCCTGATGGCGCATGGTACCACCTTTGCTGGAAAGCTTCCTTTAAAAGTCTGGCGCAAACGTTTGAATGTCGTATTGACCACTTTTTCATATAAAATATAGGGAACATGATATTTGGCCGGAACTGCAAAAAAGAGAATTGTGTGAAAATATAAACACCCATGGTATTAACAAGACTGTTACCAAAAGAACTGGAAACACGGAGCAAGAATGTCAAGACTTTTTATCCCATGTGACTTTTACTGTTCCCAACCTTTTTTCGCAGATTATTATCCGTATGTTCGGAATCAAAGACGTTTTGTCTATGACGTCTATGAACTGATTGACTTGAGATGTAACTGTGTATACTAAGAACGATTTATATTGCAAAGCGAGAAATTTGAGAACCTTCAGCCGTTTTTTGTATCTTTTTAAACTGTCGAAGTGCAGGCAATAAAACCATACTAGAAACATTTCATACAAAGCAATTTTACGAAGCATTAATTGGTCAGATGGGCTTACAAAAATATTCTATATTTAATAAATTTGTCAGATGGACATTCGGAATTCTTTACCATAAAAAAACTATTCTTTTCTTGAATGTTATTTCAAATGGTGTGCCATTTCCAATTTTTGTGAAGTCTTTTATTGTTTTTAATGTTCCGGTGTTGCCTCTCGTTAAGCAAGGGTCTAGTGTGCGTGCTAATAATAATAATAAACGTCTTTTATTGGTACCGAAGTTTAGCTTGAAGCTATTCTGACACTTACGTAATTTTATACATAATGATTCACATAAGATTCTTTTAGTTTGATAATCTAGAATTTCTTTATTTAGATATGTGACGTAAAATCGGAAAGTAGCTTCACACTCATCAAAAACAATTTTTTGAATTTTCTCATGAGTGCCTCTTAATTTCGCGAAGCCGTAATGATGTACTCCTATGAGGTCTGTACAACATATGTGAGTTTGCTGGTGGCACAATTCTTCGCGTGGGTTCTGCGCATTTTTTCTGTTTTGGGTAGTCAACCCTTATGATCACATATTCACCCTGTAGTCCCCTGATTTTTCGCAAAGCTATGCCGTGAAAATGTACTCCTATTGGGTCTCTAGAACATATATGAGTTTGTTGGTGGCACAATTCTTCGTTCCACGGATATGTAGGGATTGACACTTTAACAAATATCGGTGTTTTAGGATGGATTGGACATGGTGTATTGATTGCTGTGAAGAAATTCATTAACATATAAATTGATTATTGATTATGATGCAACTAAAGATGGGATTAATTGGAATACATTTTATATCCTATTTTCTTGCAAAATACAGACAAATCCACTCATTTCAACAGGTACGTAGCGATAATGATAACTTGTAAACCCTCATTATGTAGAGCTAAACAAATTCGAAATTGCCAGGTATTAACAAACGTCTGCATATTACATTCAATAGCTCGAAAATCGACCTATTTTTTCTTGCATTTTCATTGATGGATTGATTAGATCCTCCATCACTTGTAAATTGATAAATAGCAAATACATGAAAGTTGTCTTGTTTTCTCTGTACAAAAACATCATGTTGGAATCAAAAAGTGCTCTTGTTTATAATACAATCACTTTTCCACGATGTTATTCAATATGTCAATAGAAATACAGTGATATTAAGACTGATTAGGAGACCCATAACGTGTACTGCTACGCTACCGCTGGTGGTGGTGGAGAATAACTACTAGAATTAGCAACTTCATTTTCTTCTTCTTCGTCACTTGTGCTACTGTATACTTTTTTTTCAACTTTCTGAAGCTTCTAGCTGTGCTTGTCTCACTACCTCATGATAAGAAATCGGGATTTTCAGCTCTCAATCTCGTGTTTTTCAGGAAAGAGCAATATTCTTTGGAGTGTTCAAATTTTGGGGTTAGCTTCACGTTAAAAAAATAATAAGCAACCTTCCATGACTTTCAGTAGTCGGTACTTTCAAATTACTACAGTTCAATTTACTGGTCATAAAAACTTTTCTTTCTGCAACCATCTTTATTTGCATCACTGTCAAAAATAGCTTAACGGACGGCTTAACGATTCGTCATTTTTGTCGATATAATGTCAACTGAACAACTAGTCCCTAGTTGACATTGTCAAAAAAACGACAATGCCAATTTTCAAGTTACGTGATACCCCTGTCGATTAGGATTGACGCTTGAGAAAATTAAGGTTCATGTCAGATAGATGCAATTTAATGGAATATAGATATCTCTGAAAGCAAATATAATAATGACGAGAGCATATTTAAACGCCTTTCTGCTGTAAAAACGAAACAAAATACAATCTGCTTCTGTCTCGATAGATCAATTCAAGGTTCATGTCAGATAGATGCAATTTAATGGAATATAGATATCTCTGAAAGCAAATATAATAATGACGAGAGCATATTTAAACGCCTTTCTGCTGTAAAAACGAAACAAAATACAATCTGCTTCTGTCTCGATAGATCAATTTAGTTAACAAAAAAAAACATCCTGACGCATCCGAAACCCCAAACGAGCACCATCACAGTGGTTCATTTTTTTCTTAGAATAGCTTTTAGGGTATTTAAGGATTTTTGAAATTAATAACGGAGGAATGCGAGTTCAGCAAACGTTTACAACAGTATTTTTCAAGAAAGCCTTCCATCTGAATGAAATAAGCCTGACATTATGCAACTTTACCTGACATTATGAAATGTTAAATAGCATTATTTTTTCTAGGTGCCCTCATGCCGCACTTGCTAGTACAATCACCACGTCGCCTGGTCGCTGACGGTTTCATCCCCTCTTGTTATATATGTACATTACATATTGTTAGGTTGTGATGATTTAAATGCATATTTTCATAGATGATTTTTCATTATAATGATTATATTTGCAAATAAAATATTTACCATGAAATATACATTTATTTTGAGACGCGTGGGTCCAAATTTTATTCATTAATTAGAGAGTTACACCTTTGATTAAAGTATAGCCAAGCTAATACTATATTTGCGGGCCCAAAAAGTATTGAAATGAGATACCATAACGCCATCTATGAAAAATTATCACAGCTATGTTTCTTCTTTCTGCAATAATTAGAAATCTACTTTGAAAAGGTTAGTGTCTCATTATATGAGTCATCTTTTCAAAGTAGATTCATAATTATTGTGGAGAGGAGAAACATAACTGTTATATGTATATGACACTAGGGTATCTCACTTCATCGCGGATAATTTTGACAACGCGTATTAGGTTGGCTATCTTCAGGTAGAATACGTTAATCAATGGTTACATGTAATCTGATTACGGCTTACGTATAGTCTTTTTCACGAGTATTCATAAGGTCAAACGTGTATACGTTCACAAAAATTAACTCTCGCCGATGATCGGCCTCACCTGGTAAAAACATTCCTACAAGCCCCCCATGGCCTTTGATTATTCTATTAAATGCTGGTTTCTCATGACCAAGGAATACAGAGTTACCAGTAGAAGGGGTACTCGCGAAAAAGCCTTTCCTCTTCTTACTTCTAAAGATGCCGACATTTTTTTAAGAACTGGGTGCCTCACTCCAAGGGGTCCCACACTGTTTTATTGCTTTATACTGGGTAGTGCTGTCGTACTTTGGCGAACGTACAGAATAGGTTGCAAAAAACTGTTGTTACTGGCATTTAGTAATCCCATTTATACAGGGTGATTCATTTCATTATTGTTTTTATGGCATGGAAATGAATGACAAATATTTGCTTTAAAAAATTGTGTATTGACTTACTTGGATTGAAAATAAATCCTAATTTCTATATAAAGTGAAAGAAAATGGTGAGCAGAAAACTGTTCACAAGGATGAGTGAAACATATTCAGCGAAGCTCCGAAAAGGCACTATCAAGCCTCAAAATTGATCATAAGTTATTTTGGAAATTAGAAGTAAAACTATACATATCGCATTTTTGTGACATTGCGTTCTTGACACTGGTACACTCATGAAACAGATAAATTTTGGATGGATCTCCTATGTCAATTACACCTTGACATGAGCTCCTATATGAGAGAACGGATTCCAAATATACTCGAATAACATTACTTGCCTAAGCTAATTAGCAATGAGTCGGAACACCATTTCCCTCCCTTATTTTGCATCCAGGCACGCAGCACCAACACTAACTATACGAGTAGTCTTATAATCACTGGCGGATTTAGAGGGGGGATTGGGGGGCGCGCGCCCCCCTAGACGTCTGACATTTGCTTTTGCAATCTAACACCATTGTGTTACTTTCTGTCACCTCATGATGACAGAGGCATATTAACTATAAGTTATAGCTATAGGAACTGAGCATTATGATATTTTGGTATTCCAAATGCTGTCCCTCTTTGACATCACTTGTTTACAGCACAACTCTTACGATTTAAACGTATATACGAGTATTGTGACTTGTGACAAATCTAAGTCTGGGTAATATATTAGCTATACAGATTGCACTTAAAAAGCGATTTATGTTCTGTTTGTTGCTCAATGGTAATTTGAAAAGTGTGTAAAGCTTGAGTGATTTTGTTCGGGGTTGGTGTTCTAGCGAAACACTATGTTAGATGAATGCCTAAATTGGAAATAGACATTTATGAAATTTGTTTAGCGGTGCACCTGTGGCCTGTCTAGAAACTGCGTCGATCGATGCTCAAAATCAATACCACACGTCCCGCATCCCTTCTCGCGTATGTGTCGGTTTATGTTGCTATATTAAATTTGTTTAAATCATAGAGCTGCTGCACTATACGTGAATATGTACAGCCCTGTATTCCTGTACTTGTTTAGTACAAACATACTTTATCAAAATAATTACGATCTAACAGATATAGTTTTTTCCAAGGATTTCCAACATTTCTACATGCGATCAACACCGGTTCGAAAACTGAGAAAACAACTATGCCGTAAATCTAAGTTCGACAACGAAAGTCTGAAAAATAACTGTAACATCTGTGTATATTGAATTTCAAAAACCCCAACCCCTACTGAGCGGGGACGTGGCAAATGTTTGTTCCGGAAGTTGTTGTATCCAGCATACAACTTCTTCCCGTACAAGTGATTGTACACGCGTTAAGGAATACCCAGAGAAAAACCCTTCTGGGAATACCTCAGTACTGTGACGAAGGTCGCTATAGTCGAAATCACAAAAGATGACGATTACGTCATCATTTTAGTCAGAAGTGAAGACAAACGACAGCGATTTGTGACTGTTTTTAATGAAGTTTCAGATATGTTAGACAGAGACAAACAGAATTTTAGTGTCTAAACCTAAACAAACTGCATTGCTAATTTGCATGTATCCGACAAAGATAGACGATGTTTTCATGTTGCATGATCGATCATATTTGAAAGATATATAGTTAGGTTATGTTAAAGCAGGTTAAGTTGTTTTCGAAAAATACTTTGGTCTTTGGTGTTCGTCTTCACTGTTTTCTTTTTCAAAACAAACTCTCCACTAAAATTATTATTATGGTATCACTCAAACCCATGAAATAAAATGAAAATAAAAATAAGCAGTGAAATAACTGAACTTCCCAAAATCATAATATAAATTTGTTGTAATTTGTCCCTGACATCGTGACTTTATCATCGACGTACGTCCATCGATTACTTCAGTACAATTTATGGTATGACGTAATAGTCATCTTTCGTGATTTTGGCTATATGTGGCTCCCGATTCTTCTAGATCAGGGCTGTCCAACATACGGCCCGCGAACTCCTTTCTTGCGGCCCGTTTCACGGGTCATGTATACATCACATGTATAAATTACTCTCAAATACCGAATATGCACAATTCTTACATTAACTCTGTAATAATGTTGTATAGAAAGATTTTATAATACGGCCCTCCAAACTGCATTTTTTCTTGAAGTGGCCCTTGGGCCACATTAAGTTGGACAGCCCTGTTCTAGACTCAACGATGCGGACTATACTATACTATACTTCGAAGTTGAGTCATTTATTTTAACAGTGAGTAGATCTGATCAAAAGAAATGTTTTTTTCCTTTAACATTTTTCTGGTAAAATTAAAGTAATAAAGTTATAGCCTTTTAGAAGTTTGAGTACCGCCCTGTCTCAATAATAATAGTATGTGCTCGAATTTGGCAACAACGGATATAATCCGCCTTATCGGTTCATCGCATCGAAAACAAAAAAGCGAAAGAATTTGAAACGGTGATCACGATGTTTTTATTCAGTCAATGTGTCAGTCGGTAACGCGTGAGTGAATAGTGGTGTTTGCTGCGTGGCTCAAACGAAATAAAAAATGGCACATGTTTATGCGGATCGGTTTCCCAATCGAGTGCAACCAACCCCTCGTGCCTTTGTTAATGTAGTACAAAAGGCTCGTGAATCAGGTGACTTAAGACCTCACTGGGGAGGGCATGCCGGTGCTCCAAGACCGCACGATCAAATACAGGTTCGCACTGAAATACTTGTCGAGAGGATACTTTATAAAACAAGGTAACACTTTTTTTTAATATTTTGTTATTTTTACACACATATTTTGGTTTATCTTCCTTCTACAATCATTATCTGAAAATTAATGACTCAACTTCAAAGTCACCCTGTATAACTCGGCGGCCGGGAGATGGAAGGAAGTACTGAATACGGTAGAGTAGCAGAGCGGAGTGAAGTATAGTAGAGTAAATGGTGACATAAGAATTAGTCAGACACAAATAGTGGTGCATATAAATGTTTTATCAAGTTAAATAAATTAGTGCATTTCTTTTTCTGGAATCCAGTGTTTTAATCCACACCCAAAAGAACCCAGAAAAACGCTACAGTATCGATTGCCGGGTGGCGGTACAAGTCCGCCAACGGGCCACTTTAGGTCTATTCATTATCATTAAAACCCAAAAAGAAGGTGGTAGACAAGGACCAGTCGACCGAGGAGGTACCACCCATTAGCTTTCCCCAGGGTGTCTTATAAATGACCGCATGTTTCCACACCTAAGCTATGCAGTCGGTTATCTTCCAAAACAAGGAAATTCATGATGATGGATCCCTCGAGTACTAAGAATTCCGAATGTAAGCTCACTCGACTCTCAGAATGTCCAGGTGGAGGGTGAACTCGACGGAACAACATCGAAGCTAAAATTCGTTTCAGGAACATCTGCGGGATTAACAGCAAGATTGATGCTGTTCATCACTTCTCGCAATCCAATCGTCCCGCGATGCTTTTCTTTATTATTAACCATCTTAGCTTACCAAATTACGAGGTGCACTCCAATCTGAGAAAGAACGGGGGAGTTGTGGCCGGACAAACCGCAGCAGAGATGTTTCTCTGGTATCAGACCGGAAGGACATTCTGTGGCTTCGCCTCAACTCCAAAACATCCCCCAAATTTATTTGCTGCCTTTATCGCTTCTGTCGGACCACAACTGGGATGACCTTCTTGAATACCTCGCCGTCAAGATCGACTTCCTGAACATCAAGCACTCCGCTTCAGAGGTAGTTCTCCTCGGTGATTTCAATGACCATAATTTGCTTTGGTTGGGCTCAAACAAGACCGATGCAGCAGGTCGTGCAGTTAAAGCGTTCGCTCTTACTCGAGGGCTGACCCAGCTGGTGACGGGCCCTACTTTTTTGTCCCGCATCTCGTCACATGCCAGTATCCTGCTGGATCTCTTTCTGACCACTCATCCTGTCCCTTACAGCTCTGCCGTCCTGTCTTCCCTGGGTAACTCAAACCACTGTGTTGTGGAGGTTAGGTTTCGGTCAGAACCCGCTGTTTCAGCAAACACTCGCACAGACCGCAAAATTTGGCATTACGGACATGCCGACTGGGAGGGGTTCAGAGACTTCTTCTCTACATTTCCTTGGAGAAATTTCTGTTTCACTGACATGGATGCGTCAGCTGTATGTTCTTCGATAACCGAAATTATCCACATCGGAATGGAGGAATACATGCCTCAT